TCTCGGCTCATTGTATCGCATCGCACCACACTGCATCACCACACCGCACCCAGCATATCACAGCATAATCCACCATATCACAACATACCCAATCATATCACACCATACCTATGATAAAACATCACACACCGCCACATCACACATCAAATCACACCATCCCCACCACATCACACCGTCCCCCATGATATCATACCACACCATATTCCATCATATGACATCATTACAACACATACACCACAGCATCATACCACACCATGCTGCAACCCCTATCATTCCACCAAACCACACCACATGACCACACCACACCACCGCACCGCACCCCATCACATCGCACCACACCACAACACACTGCACGACATCGCACCGCACCATACCAGTGCAGCGTGTGCAGCTGGTCGTCCAGCACGGTGAGCACGTCGGTTGACGTCAGCGCAGCATTGCGGAAGGTTGAGTACCTTTCGAGTTTCACCACAGAACCTCCTCCTTGAGCACCAGGCGGGGCAGCACCGGACGAGATTCCACACCCCCTTATACAGCCCAGCATCCACACCATCTCACAACCCACCATACCTCACCATATCACACCCCACCATACCATACCACAGCACACTGCACCACATCACACCATGCCACGCCACACTGCACCGCAGCACCCCACCATGCCACACCTCACCACACCACACCATACGAGTGCAGCGTGTGCAGGCAGTCGTCCAGCACAGTGAACACGTCGGTTGACGTCAGCGAGCAGCAGACGAGATTCCACCCCCGCTTATACCACCCAGCACCGCATTCCACCATATCGCACCTTATTGCACCACACTGAACCTCACCTCACCGCACCGTACCGCACCACACCGCATCGCACCACACTACAATATACCAGTGCAGCGTGTGCAGCCTGTCGTCCAGCACGGTGAACACGTCAGCTGATGTCAGCGCAGGGTTGCGGAAGGATCTCAGATCCTCCTCCTTGAGAACCATGCGGGGCACGTTGAGCAGCAGACGAGATTCCAGACCCTTTTGTACCACCCAGCACCGTGCCCCACCAGATCGCAGAACCTCCTCCTTGAGCACCATGCGGGGCACGTTGAGCAGCTTCGCCAGCACCAAGTCGAATCCTTTATACCGCACAGCACCGCAACCCATCACATCACACCACACCTTACCGCACCACACCACACAACACCGCACTGCACCACACCGCACCTCACCGCACCGCCACACCGCACTGCATCCTCCATACCAGTGCAGAGTGTGCAGCCGATCATCCAGCACAGTGAACACGTCCGCTGACGTCAGCGCAGGGTTGCGGAAGGATCGCAGAAGCTCCTCCTTGAGCACCATGCGGGGCACGTTGAGCAGCTTCGCCAGCACCGCACGAGACCCATCCGTACCGCTCGTCACCGCCGCAGCACCGCTCGACGCAGCGTCACTTGTAGCAGCACCGCTTGAAGCAGCTGCTGCAGCAACGGCAGCATCAGCAGCCCTAGCATCAAAAGATGGAGGCATGGTAACAGAGTCCTGTGCTGGTAACGCCGTTTCCCCAGCAGCACTGCCACTTTCAGTGCTGAAGTCGGCGCACTCGGAGGGTTGTTGGAGCTGTTGCAGCGTCCGCGGAAAGAAATTTCCGGCAGCAGCCTGAAACTGGAAAAGGGGTGGGACGAGGGGCATGTCAACTCATGAGTCAACTCAAAGCGCCGCTTCCCCTGCGGCGCCGCCACTTTCAGTGCTGAACTCGGCGCGCTCGGAGGGCCGCAGCTGCTGTAGCGCCTGCGGGAAGAGATGCCCAGCAGCCTGAAGCTGGAATGGGGTGAGAGGAGGGGCAAGTTGACCGTTGAATAAATAACTGAGAAACGTCAGTTCTCCGACAGAACTGCCACTTTCAGGGCTGAACTCGGCGCGCTCTGGGGCTCGAGCCGCTGTTTCGCCCGTGGGAAGAAAGTACCGGCAGTCCGAAGCCGAAACCTGCGGGAAGAAAGGGTGGGACCGTTGAATGAACAACTGAGGTCGGGTCGAGAAACCTCAGCCCGTTTGTGTCGCGCGGTTTTGATGCGAATCTATCCTTTCTAATGCCTTGCACGGTTAGACCTTGGAGATTGGGACACTGCTACGATGTAACTTTGGACACGGTGTGTCTTACGTTGCAGCTGAAACCACGAGTATGAGATTTCACAGACACTGACACTTTCACGATTGCTGTTACATTGTAACTCAAAAATATGTTATGGTGTGTCTTAATGCGCAGCACCTGTAACGCAGACACTGGGATCCTGCATCTCTCGCCACAGTTCAGCGCGTCTCGCGCGGATCTGAAGCCCGCTCGGAGCAGAGACGACGGCGCCGCCATGCTATTGGCGGGAGGGGCGACAACCAGTCGTGTCGCGCCAAGTTTCGCACGGATCGGGAGCAACCACGCGTGTGCTGGAAAATATATGCTTGGTCCTCCGATCGAGTACGACCTACTAGAACTCTCGTCGAGCACAATGGGGGAGTTCATCCTCCATAAAAAGGTTCCCATTGCTGGAAAATTGTTACAGAAACGAATTCTGGGATTCTACTTTCATGAATGAAGTTACAGAAATATTTACTAATACACATTAATATTAAAGCACGTTAATATATATTAATGATTTTATTTACATGATAATTATATTTATTTAATGAAATTTGATTCTTCAAGAGTTTCTGTTGTCATCAGGAAGTAAGGATTGTCAAAATAATGCTGGTTCCATTTATATGGTATTGTCTAGTTGTCGTTCTACTATTTTGGTGTACAGTGTGTATCACGGAAAATTCGGCTCATGGTTCAAGCCTCGACTGAATCCGAACCTTTCGACTCGAATGGCATCCCGTACCCGTGAAGCTGGTTTTGCGCCAAGTTTGGGTCTGGTTGGGAACAGCAGTTCTCCAGACCTGGCTTTGGCGAGGTTCGGTTGGGGAAAGCTGTGCCCCTGGCTGTGTGATGTGAACCGAATGTGCAAGGAATTCCCAGATTGCGTCTTGGAGCGAGTCCAATGTTTTCGATATCTGTGTGAGGCAGAATCATGCTTTCATTTCTTCCGATCATAAATGCTGATGACAGACCCCCTTATTCAAAGTTTTCAATCCCACTTGTCTGCTTAGTCGTTTCATACTTCGACTCTCTTGCGATTTCTCAGTTCCTTATCCATTCATGGATTCTTCGTGTGGTAATCGCCAGCGTAGGAGTGCTGCGATCAATGTCGACAGAGAGTCTGACATGATCGACTCGTTTGCAAATTATCAGGCTGTTTCTCAACCTTCCATTAATTCCCAAGCCTTTTCATCATCTGGTCTTCGCGAGCGTAGAAGTGCTACCATTTATGTCGACAGAGAGTCTGACTGTTCTTCTCCGAGAGGACGCATTAACAGTTCGCAAGGAGATGCTCAAAATGCCGTCGAGAGCTCTCCTTGTCAACAATCCCCGTGGATGACTTCCCCAGCGACGGTTCTTCACAATGAACCCTCTCCCATTGTTTCCGTTGGAAACCAGGTTGCGGACAAGGAGATTCGGCTCAGACGTGCTCGCCGGCGTGCACCTCTTGACCTTCTTCACGATCTTGACAAGGTGTTATGAGCAAAAGCGTCGACCCAACTTTCTGCTACGAACTTTCGTGTCTTCATTTTCTAAACTTTTTGTAATGGCTTTATCTGTCAGGTTGAGGAAAGAATCACCGTCAGAGTAGAGGATATCGTGTCCTCGTCGCAACTTGATAGCCGACAACACCAGCAGGATTACGCGAAAGACATTGCTGCGGTAAGACCTATTTCTCTGGTACAATGCTTCATTTCAAGCCAAGCAGGCCAATTAATGGCTCTTCGTACTGCTTTGCAGGAATCCAAAGAGTTTGCTCTACTATTAGCTTGCGGTTTGCAACAACCACAAGATGTTCCGGATGCTGAGAGCCTTTTCAGAAGTCATGAACTGTCTGGAAAAGACGCACGGAAGATTATACGAGAGGTGCAAGACGTCGTGGATTCCTTTACCCTTGATAAAATTCACACGTAGCCACAACCTTAAGACTGTCAGAAGTATATGATGGAGCTTGTTTCTTGTACATAATTTACTGGCCGAAAGGGCAAAACAAGCATGCTCTCGGTTCCTGTATTGCACCTCTACTTAGCTGCATCTGTTATTGACGGACATGTATGCTTGGGAAAGTTTAGTTGTCACTTGAGAGTACACCAGATTTGTCCCATCTTCCGAGACTAATGCAAGGTACTTGTTTGATACATTGCTCCACTCAGTAGAGTTTGGAAGTGTTGGTATTGCCTAGTACACCCAGTTCCAGTGTAACAATACTCTTTGGCGCCAATAACGAGTATGAGTGCGGTGGAAGGATGGAAGAGAAAGCATGAGAAAGAAATTCGTCCAGATAACGTGACGACAGCAGGTAGATTCTAGTGCTGGTTGTCTCGGCGAGCTCAGTCGACGCGGCATCTTCGTGTGGACGGTAGTATACGGTATTTCATCCGCGTTTCGTTGTCAGCGTATTTCATATGTGGAGTTTTTTTGCTCAGGCGCACAGCGCATTCTTTCAATATCCCACCTATCAAGGCAAATCTTCCCTATCTTCTACGTTCGCCATCCCACATCTCTCGAGTTCTGAACCGAAGTGATCCAGTTTGCACACTTTCCACCATGGCCATTCACAGCGGCGTTCTCCAGTCCCTCGCTCGTTCCCTGTATCCCGTCGCCAGTGTCCATCCAGCGCTCATCTCAGCCGTCCATTCTGCAGCAGCAGCACTCTTAGCCGTTTCTGGATCCGCGTTGGCACAGGAATCGTCTCGCGTGCTCTCGGCTTCTTCCCGCCAGTTTGAGAATTCAAATTCCTCAAATCCCTCCACAGCAGCCGCCAAATCTTTGAACTCGTCCCTCCCTCACTCCCCTTCCCCTCATTCCCTGTCACCTCACTCCTCCCCTCACTCCGTCCGTCCGTTTTCCACGAGCACCGCGGCACCACCATCGTCCCCGTTTGCACGCCCCCCGCATCAGCCATTACCGCAGCACAAAGACCTCCTCCAGCTGCCGCCTCCCCCTCCTGTGCCGCAAAGGCGGGTCGTTGTCACAGGTACGCCCCTCTCTCCCTGACTGCGAATCTTTCAGCTCAGGGGCGTTTCAGGCGATTTGGTGGTGACCAGCACGTGGGCCTGCCCGCCCCAGATGCTGCCTCCCCCTCCCGTGCTGCAAAGACGGGTTGTAGTCACAGGTACGCCCCTCCCTCCCTGACTGCGATTCTTTCAGCTCAGGGCCGTTTCAGGTGATTTGGTGGTGACCAGGACGCGGGCCTGCCCGCCCCAGATGCCACCTCCCCTTCCCGTGCCGCAACTGCAGGTCGCTGTCACAAGTACGCCCCTCCCGCTGATTGCGATACCTGCGACGGTCTATAGTAACAACCCGAGCCCTAACCTGAACCCCTCTCTCCCCTCCCTCCCATCTCTCTCCCCATCTTTCCCCCTCTCCCCCTCTCTCCCTTTCCCCCAGGCATTGGCATGGTGACCCCTCTCGGCATGGGCGCCACTGCCACGTGGCAGCGCCTGATTGGCGGAGACAGCGCCATCCGCGCCCTGACCCCATCGGACATAGCCGTTCCTGGCATGACAGACAGCCTCGCCGCTGCTCTGCTCTCCCATCTGCCTTCTCTCCCATCTCACATGCCCTGTGTTGTGCCTCCTCCTTTTGAGACGTCTGCTCTCCCCTCTCTCTGCGCTCCCCTCTCTCCCCTCTCTTCCCCCTCCCCTTCTCTCCACGCCCCCTTCCCGCCCCTCCCCCTCCCCTCGCCAGGCATTGGCATGGTCACCCCTCTTGGCGTCGGCTCCGCTGCCACGTGGCAGCGCCTGATTGGTGGAAACAGCGCCATCCGCGCCCTGACCCCATCGGACATAGCCATTCCCGGCATGACAGACAGCCTCGCCGCTGCTCTGCTCTCCCAACTCCCCTCTCGCATTGCCGGCGTTGTCCCTCCTGTTCCTCCTGCCCCTCCTGCACCACCTGTTGCTGCTGATAGCCGTCCCGACATTCCTTCTGCTGCTCATGCTGGGGTGGAAGGAGACAAATCAGGTCTCGAGGGCATGCCTCGGTTTGTGCAGCATGCAATAAGAGCGGCTGATGAAGCCATGATGGATGCGCGGTGGATGCCGGAGGAGGAGGAGGATCGCGTGAGAACGGTGAGTGCATGGTGCTGATGGTGCTGCTGGTGGTGCTGGTGCTGCTGCAGGTGGTGGGGGGTTGGAGGGCATGCCTCGGTTTGTGACGCCATGCTGGATGCGCGGTGGATGCCGGAGGAGGAGGAGGATCGTGTGAGAACGGTGAGATTGACGGAACAGAGTTACACAGTCTGGGGTATGAAGGTGTGGTGTGGAAGGGCTGCTTTTGAGGCGCCTCAAAAGTCGCCTCAAAAGATGTGGTGTGGAAGGGCTGCTTGCTCTGTGAGCAGCTGATGAAGCCATGCTGGATGCGCGGTGGATGCCAGAGGGGGAGTTTTGGGAGGAGGACCACGTGAGAACGGTGAGACTGATGGAATAGAGGGGCACAGTTTGGCGTAGGGACATGTCGGGTGGAAGAGCTGTGTGCATTGTAAGCGGCTGATGAAGCCATGCTGGATGCGCGGTGGATGCCAGAGGGGGAGTTTTGGGAGGAGGACCACGTGAGAACGGTGAGACTGATGGAATAGAGGGGCACAGTTTGGCGTAGGGACATGTGGGGTGGAAGAGCTGTGTGCATTGTAAGCGGCTGATGAAGCCATGATGGATGCGCGGTGGATGCCGGAGGAGGAGGAGGATCGCGTGAGAACGGTGAGATTGATGGGATAGAAGGGCGCAGTCGGGCGGCGTAGGGACATGTGGTGTGTGGACGGGTTGTGTGCCTTGTGGGGCTGGCTGTAAGCAGCAGCTGATGAGATGGATGCGCAGTGGATGCCGGAGGAGGAGGAGGACCGTGTGAGAACGGTGAGATTGATGGGATAGAAGGGCACAGTCGGGCGGCGTAGGGACATGTGGACGGGTTGAGGGTGGGCAATAAGAGCAGCTGATGAAGCCATGATGAATGCACGGTGGATGACATGACAGACCTGCCTCATTCTCCCTGTGCCCTTATTCTCGTCCCTGTCTCAACCAGGGAGTCTGTGTGGTGGGGGGAGGCATCGGCAGCATCAGTGGAGGTGTTTATGGCAGCAGACAGGCAGGATATGCCCCTCTCTTTTCTCCCCCGCCTGCCCTCATTCTCCCTGTGCCCTTATTCTCGTCCCTGTCTCAACCAGGGAGTGTGTGTGGTGGGGGGAGGCATCGGCAGCATCAGCGAGGTGGCAGCAGCAGGCAGGCAGGAACTGGTGAAGGCGTATATGCTCGTTCCCTTCATTCTACCACCCTGTCTCACCCAGGGAGTGTGTATGGGGGGGGTGCATTGGGAGCATCAGCAAGGTGGCAGCAGCAGGCAGGCAGGAACTGTGAAGGCGTATGCCTCCCTTATCCTCCGCCTTTCCTTCATCGTATCCCCATGCACTCCTGTCCCACCCACCCAGGGAGTGTGCGTGGGAGGAGGCATTGGCAGCATCAGTGGGGTGGCAGCAGCAGTAGGCAGGAACTGGTGAAGGCATATGCTCGTTCCCTTCATTCTACCACCCTGTCTCACCCAGGGAGTGTGTATGGGGGGGGTGCATTGGGAGTATCAGCGTGGTGGCAGCAGCAGGCAGGCAGGAACTGGTGAAGGCGTATGCCTGCCTCCTTTATCCTCCGCCTTTCCATCACCGTATCCCCATGCACTCCTGTCCCACCCACCCAGGGAGTGTGCGTGGGAGGAGGCATTGGCAGCATCAGTGGGGTGGCAGCAGCAGTAGGCAGGAACTGGTGAAGGCATATGCTCGTTCCCTTCATTCTACCACCCTGTCTCACCCAGGGAGTGTGTATGGGGGGGGTGCATTGGGAGTATCAGCGTGGTGGCAGCAGCAGGCAGGCAGGAACTGGTGAAGGCGTATGCCTGCCTCCTTTATCCTCCGCCTTTCCATCACCGTATCCCCATGCACTCCTGTCCCACCCACCCAGGGAGTGTGCGTGGGAGGAGGCATCGGCAGCATCAGTGGGGTGGCAGCAGGCAGGGATTGGTGAAGGCATATGCTCGTTTCCTTCGTTCTGCCCCTTTCTGTCATTCCCCCTGTTTCCCTCATCCTACCCCACCCAGGGAGGAGGCATCGGCAGCATCAGTGAGGTGGCAGAGGCAGGCAGCGTTTATTAATAAACGGCAGAGGCAGAGGCAGGCAGCGTTTATTAATAAACGGCAGAGGCAGAGGCAGGCAGCGTTTATCAAACGGATATACGTATAAAGTTTCGACCTGGATCCAGCAGGTGACTCGTCCTACTCCAACAGGTGGCAGAGGCAGGCAGCGTTTATTAAACGGATATGCACCTCTCCTTCATCCCCCACCTGTCCTCACCCCCATTATCACTGTTCCTTTGCTTTCGTCCCTATCTAACCCAGGGAGTGTGTGTGGGGGGAGGCATCGGGAGCATCAGCGAGGTGGCAGCAGCAGGCCACCTTCTTTTTGAGCAGGTGAGTGCTTTGGGGGGAGCAGGGGAGCAGGTGCGTGCACTGCTCCCTCCCCTCGTCCCTTCACTTGCTCTCTCACTCTCATACCTCCCCTCATGGTCACACCCTTTCCAGAAAAAAAAAAAAAGGCCATACATAAACCAAAACTCGTCCTCCCCCACCCCGACCACCTTTTCCAACTGAGCTTCGTTTCCCCCCGGCCCCTCACTCTGTGCCAAGCAGGTTTTTGAGAATTCTCAAAAACCAGCTCGTTTCCCCCCAGCCCCTCACTCTGTGCCAAGCATTCTCATCAGCATGGCTGTCGTAATTCCTGTAACCTTCCCCCCCTCCCCCCCCCCTCTCATCCCAACCCCTTCCGGAGCAGAATCACAGGCGCGTATGAAAACCTTAAGTTGGTTCCCCTTTCCTCCCTCCCGAGCAGGAGCCCAGCCCAGGCGCATCTCGCCGCTCTTTGGGCCGTGCATTCTCATAATCAAGGCTGCCATTTTTTATGAAATGACCCCAGCTAACATTCGCGCATTCGCCTCATCATCATGGCTGCTACTGAGAGTTATCAAAAGCATTTTTTCCCTCAATATGGCTGCCCTGCCATGCTTCTTGAAATGATTGTGTATCCCCCCTTTTCCCCCGTTCCCCACTCCTTCCTGAGCAGGAGCCCAGGCGCATCTCGCCTCACTTTGTGCCGCGCATTTGCTTTGTGCCCTTCACCCCCGCCTCCCTGAACTAAAGCCCAGCCCAGGCGCATTTCGCCACATTTTAACCCGCGCATTCTCATCACCATGGCTGCTGTGCTTCTCACTTCATCCTCTGCCTGCCCCCGCCCTTCCCTCCCTCGCTGAGCAGAAGCCCAGCTGAGGCGCATTTCGCTGCCCTTTGGCCCGCGCATTCTATGTGTGCCCTTCCCCCCCGCCTCCTTGAGCAGAAGCCCAGCTGAGGCGCATTTCGCCGCCCTTTGGCCCGCGCATTCTCTGTGTGCCCTTCCCCCCCGCCTCCTTGAGCAGAAGCCCAGCTGAGGCGCATCTCGCCGCTCTTTGGGCCGCGGGTTCTCATCACCATGACTTTTGAGTCGACTCAAAAGTCACCGCGGGTTCTCATCACAATGACTTTTGAGTCGACTCAAAAGTCACCGCGGGTTCTCATCACCATGGCTGCCTTTCTTCTCGCCTGTTCCACCCTCTGCCTGATGTGATCCTTCAAACCCTGTAATGACTCTGTGTAACCCCCTTTCTCCCCCACCCCCTCTCCTCCCTGAGCAGAAGCCCAGGCGCATCTCGCCGCACTTTGTGCCGCGGATTCTCATCAACATGGCCGCAGGGCACATCAGCATTCGCCACCGCCTCAAGGTGGGTGGAGTGATTCGTAAGGGTGTGACTTTTGTGATGGGTGGGTGGTGTGAGTGATTGTAGGAGGTGAGGGTTGGACGAGAATAGCATTCTCATCTCATCAGCATGGCAGCACGGCACATCAGCATCCGCCACCGCCTCAAGGTGATGTGACGTGATTGTATATGATGTGACTGTACGCGATGTGTGTGTGTGTGTGTCCTGATGGTTTCGCATGTGGTGTGCATCTAAGCATTGTGAACGATTGTAGAATGCATATGGATTCTCATCAACATGGCTGCAGGGCACATCAGCATCCGGCATCGCCTGAAGGTGGGTGAAGTGTCTGTAAAGGGTGTGACTGTAGTGATGGGTGTGGTGTGTGTGATTGTAGGCGATGAGCTGGAGATTCGTAGCATTCTCATCAGCATGGCGGCGGCAGGGCACATCAGCATCCGCCACCTCCTCAAGGTGGGGCGATTGTATGTGGTGCATACTGACTCATGTTTCGAGTCATGACTCAAGGTGGGGCGATTGTATGTGGTGTGAGATTGACTACTTGTAAGCATTGCGACTCTCCCATCAGGGCCCCAACTTTTTGAGGCGCCTCAAATGCCGCAATGAATCCATGTGCCTCATCTGCCCATGCCACGTTCCCTCTTCTTGTGTGATAAGTCGAGTTTTGAGTCGACTAAAAACTCGACTTATCACCCATGTGCCTCATCTGCCCATGCCACGTTCCCTCTTCTTCCTTATTATTCTCCCCTTCCCTCTTCCCTCTTCCCTCGTCCCTCTGCCCTCTTACCTTTCCTCTTTCCTTCCCTCATCTTCGATCTGTCATGACATGTGGTTGCATGTCATCAGGGCCCCAACCGTTCCGTAGTAACCACATGTGCGTCATCAGCGCGTGCCATCTTCCTCCCCTTCTCACTTGCTCCCTCTTGTTCTTATTATTTCCCCTCGTTATTCTCTCATCAGGGCCCCCCAATCAAGCCTCAGTGCCAGCGTGCGCCTCATCAGCCCAGCCCATGCCATCGTTTTCCCCCTTGTTCTTCACTCCCTTTCCCTTTCCAACCTCGCCTCAGTGACGTCGTTCGACGTCACAAAAGAGATGTTTTGAGACGTCTCAAAACATCTCTTTTATCACTTTCCAACCTCGCCTCAGTGACATCGTGCGAATCATCAGCCCATGCCATCCTCTGCTGCCCTCTTCCCCTTTCTCTTTGCTCTCCTCCCTCCCTTTCTGTCATCCTCCCATCAGGGCCCCAATCATGCCTCAGTGACCGCATGCGCCTCGTCAGCCCATGCTACCTCCTTCCTCTTCTCCATTTTCCCCTGTGTGCTTCTTTCCCTTCCCCCCCTCTTCCATATCCCACCAGGGCCCCAATCATGCCTCAGTGACAGCATGTGCCTCGTCAGCGCATGCCATCGCAGACGCCTTCCGATTGGTCCGCTGTGGGGCTGCTGACGTCATCGTGGCGGGCGGCACAGAGGCGTGCGTCGACGCGCTTTCCCTCGCTGGCTTCTCACGGTGGGTGGCGGGGGCAGTGAGTGGTGGGGAATGGGGGCGATGAGAGGCATGGGGGGGATGGGTGATGGTCTTGGTGGGTGGCACAGAGGCGTGCACCGACGCCCTCTCCCTCGCTGGCTTCTCCCGGTGGGTAATGTGCCTTGCGGGATGTATGGTGGGCATGGGGGGGACGGCTGCTGACGTCATCGTGGCGGGTGGCACAGAGGCCTGCATCGATGCCCTCTCCCTCGCTGGCTTTTCGCGGTGGGTAGGAGGAGTGTTGGGGGGTGGGCCATGGGTGGATGGTGGGAGGTGGGACGGCCATCGTGGCGGGCGGCACAGAGGCGTGCATTGATGCGCTTTCCCTCGCTGGCTTCTCCCGGTGGGTAATGTGCCTTGCGGGATGTATGGTGGGCATGGGGGGGACAGCTTCTGACGTCATCGTGGCGGGTGGCACAGAGGCCTGCATCGACGCCCTCTCCCTCGCTGGCTTCTCACGGTGGGTAGGAGGAGTGTTGGGTGGTGGGTGATGGGAGGCGGGTGGTGCGTGATGGGTGGTGGGTGGGAGGTGGGGTGGGACGGTCATTGTGGCAGGCGGCACACAAGTGTGCATTGACCCCCTGTACCTGCAAAGCGCTGCTGCCCCCCATCCACCTCTCACCTGCTGCTGCTTCTGCAACGTACACACGCATGTCTATCTCTGCTGCTGCTGCTGACTATCTCTGTGTCACACTTCCCCCCCTTCCCCTCCCCCACCAGCCAGCATGCGAGCTCTCAGCACGCGCTTCAACGACACGCTTCAGCTTGGGTACACACGTACCTTGTTATTCACTGTGAACCCACCCATGTTTCCCCCCTCTCCCCCACCTACTCACCCCACCTATCCCCCCTCCCGCCACCAGTCAGCATGCGAGCTCTCAGCACGTGCTTCAACGACACGCCTCAGCTCGAAGGTGCACAACACAAGTGCCTTGCTACCTCTGCGCCACGCCACTCATCTTCTTTCTCTCTCCCCTCTGCCTCACTCTCTCTTCCCTCCCCTCAGCATGCGAGCTCTCAGCACGCGATTCAACGACACGCCTCACCTTGCCTCTCGGCCGTTTGACAAGTCAAGAGATGGATTCGTGTGCGTGGCCTCTTCCAAACCCCTCTTTACCATCCTCCTTCCTGCATTTCTGAGTTGACCTAAAAGTCGCCTTGGCCATTTGACAAGTCAAGAGATCGCTTCGTGTGGGTGCCTTGCCTCCGTTGATTCCCCGTTGCTCCTCTTCCCTGTTTCTCCTTCCATTGCTCCTCTTGCATTACTATGTGCACCACTTCCCAACCCCCCCCCCTTCTTCCGCCCCACCTTGCCTCCCGGCCATTTGACGAGTCCAGTGAAGGATTCGTGTGCGTGCGTGCCTTGCCCTTCCCCATCCCCCTTCTCGTATTGCCACTCAATGGCTAATTCCCTTTCTTTTCGCACACCCTCATCCCATTCACGCCTCTCGAAGCTTTCTTCCTTCGTTTCCGAGCCTGCATCTCTCCTCAACACGTGCCTCCTCCTTCTGCCCCCCCCCCCTCTCCCCCCCCCCCCCCCCCCCCCCGCCTGCTTGCTGCCCCCCTGCACTTTGTAACTTAGTCGTCTTAGCCACCTTCTCCCCTCCCTCCTGCTGCACTGCACCCTCCCCTTGCTCTCCGCAGAATGGCAGAGGGAGCAGGCGTGTTGGTGCTTGAGGTGGGTGGGTACTCAGAGGGAGCATGAGGATCGGAGGGGGTAAGGGGTGCAAGCATAAGCAGGATGTTGGCATGTCAGCATGTCAGCATGTCAGGATTTCAGGACGTCAGTGTGTGAGGATGTGAAATATTCAGAATGTCAGCATGTCAGCATGTCAGTATGGGAGGATGTAAGAAAATCAGGGCCTTTACAAGATGGGTTGACACCGTGTCACCCACCAGGGTGTTGAACGATTGAGAGTGGAACGAGAGCATCTCTCCAAGTGGGTGACACGGTGTCAAGCCCACATCCTCCGCCCCTCCATCCCTTTACTCTCTAAGTGACTTTTGAGTCGACTCAAAAGTCTCTAAGGATGAGAGCATCTCCAAGTTGGTGACACGGTGTCAAGCCCATATCCTCCGCCCCTCCATCCCTTTACTCTCTCTCTCCCTTACCCCCCTTCCCTCAGGACCTAGACCATGCGGTGCAGCGCGGTGCAAAGGTGTACGCAGAGGTTCGAGGAGCCGGCAGTTCAGCAGACGCCTTTCACATCACACAGCCGTCTCCCCTGGCCACTGGTGCAGTTCTGTGCATGCGAGCTGCTCTCAAGGAGGTGCGTAGTGCAAGCACCAGCAGCACCATCAGAGGCACGTGCTGTTTCCACCTGCCAGTTGCCCTAGAACTGACTTCCACATCACACAGCCATCCCCTCTCGCCACCGGCGCTGTGCTGTGCATGCGCGCTGCCCTCAATGAGGAATGATTTGAGCCAGTATGATGGAGGGACAACCAAAACCATCACACTGAAACCAACCCATAGCAGTTCAGCAGATGCTTTCCACATCACACAGCCGCCCCCCTCGCCACGGGGGCAGTGCTCTGCATGCGTGCTGCTCTCGAGGAGGCACGATTTGACCTGGTGGTCTAAAGCAGGTATGATGTGATGATGGGAATCTCTGAAGACCACCAATGATGCAGACGTACCTGCTGGAACGATCGAGAGTGGTGCATATCTCTGAGCTTGAGCGCAACTACCATCAAACCAGTTGGTCCACAGGTTTGCTGGACCAACAAGTCAGTTTGGTAGTTGCACTCAAGCTCAGAGATATGCACCACTCTCGATCGCTCCAGTAGGTACGTCTGCATCGTAGCCAGGGGAAGGTTTCTTCCGTAGATGAGCCGGCGCAGCTCATCGGCTCGGCGCTGAAACGCTGAAAAAAATATTATCGGCTCAGCCAGGGAGAGGTTGCTGTTGTTATCAATTTAACCTCATTGGCACTCCTCTTAAGGAGGAGCTGGTCCCATGTTAGTTGGTCGTCCACTGTAGCGTCAAAGATAGATTCTTCAAATGGTCCTTCATTGGTAGAGTTCTTCTTCCCTTGTCCCTCCCTCTCACATCCCTCTCTCTTCACATCCCTCTCTCTGACCTTTATTACCACTCTATGGTCTTCAACACTCACATTGTCTCTCTGCATACCTCCTAACCTCTCCACCCTTTTGCACCCCTCTCCACCCTCTCCCCTCCTTTTCACCCCTCTCCACCCCTTTTGCACCCCTCTTTACCCTTCCTCCCTCTCCACCAATCTCCACCTCTCTCCACCCCTGGTTATCGCAGGCTGGTCTGCAACCATCCGATATAGGGTACCTCAATGCCCATGCCACCTCCACTCCCCTTGGTGAGTAAGCCCCTTCTCTTAGTCTTTTAATTCCTCCCTTTCCTTCCTTTTATTTTTTAGTACTCAACTCAAAGGCCAACCCTATGCCACCTCCGCTCCATCAGTGAGCAGCAAATCCCTTCCATTAATGTTTTACCTCCGGCCCATCCTCTCCATCCTCCCCATCCTCCCCATCCTCCCCATCCTCCCCATCCTCCCCATCCTCGCTCCAGTCTATGACATTGTGACCCCAATGTGTCTTGAGTGCTCACTCACTCAAGACGGCACTCACAGGCAGCTCACAATATGTGCTTCGTATGCTCCTTGAGTGACGCACCAGACGGCTCTCACCGTTGCCTCACAATAACCCTCGTGTCGCCCTGCAGACGACGAGGCAGCTCACAATATGTGCTTCGTATGCTCCTTGAGTGAGCTCACAACTTTGAGCTCCCTCGTGGCACCCTGCAGGCGACGAGGTGGAAGAAGAACTGCTGTGCTGTCGCTCTCAATGCAGTGTTTGCCCAGCACAGGCTCATGCAACTGGTGCCTACCGTCACCTCGCATGCACCTCATACCATGCGCTTCACAATGACTGACCCTCGTGTCGCCCTGCAGGCGACGAGGTAGAAGAAGCGCTGCTGGCGCTCTCAATGCAGTGTTTCAACTTCTAAGGTGCCTCAAAAGCCGCTCAAGCAGCAGTGTTCCTTCCACCAGCACGCACTAGCTGCAAGAGAGGCCTGCTTGCAACGCAGATGTGCCTCTCAAACGAAGGAAACAGATAGAAAGCTGCAAGCTCGGTTCGACCGACCTAACTACTCTGAGTAGTAAAAATCACTGAGTGCTTGCAATGCAACTCAGATGTGCCTCACAATACGCTCCTCACATTGTTTTCTTGCAGGCGATGAGATAGAAGCTCTGGCCCTCAAGGCTGTCTTCGACCAGCACATGCTCTCAGGAGACCTCTCTTTTAACCCTCGTGCGCCTCACATACTCTCGCATGTCTGTTGCATTGTTTACCTTACTTGCAGGCGATGAGATAGAAGCTCTGGCCCTCAAGGCTGTGTTTGACCAGCACGTGCTCTCTGCAAGGGAGACCTGCCTTCAACTCTCACACACATATCCCAATTTGCGTCCCACACACTTGTCATTTACAGGCGATGAGATAGAAGCACTGGCGCTAAAGGCTGTCTTCGACCAGCACGTGCTGTCAGGAGCCCTTGCTTTCAACCCATATGCGCCTCACATATGCTCGCACGTGTGTTGCATTGTTTACTTGCAGGCGATGAGATAGAAGCACTGGCGCTAAAGGCTGTATTTGACCAGCATGTGCTCTCAGGAGACCTTTCTTTCTCCTCCAGCAAGGTACACACGCATCCTTACTTATACTTTAAGCTGGCGCTGTGTGCATGTGGATGTGCATGTGCATGTGCATGTGCATGTGCATGTGCTTGTGCATGTGCATGTGCATGTGCATGTGCTTGTGCATGTGCATGTGCATGTGCATGTGCTTGTGCATGTGCATGTGCTTGTGCATTTGCATGTGCATGCCATGCATGCGTGCATGTGCATGTGTGTCTTTGTGTGTGTGCGTGTGCATGTGTGCGTGTGTTTGTATGCATGTGCGTATGCATGTTTGCATGTGCATATCTATATGTGTGCATGTTTGCATGTGGATGTGCATGTGTGCATGTATGCATGTGTGCATGTGTATGTGTGGATCTAAATGTTTGCCTACATGTGCGTGTGCATGTGCATGTGCATCTGCATGTGCATGTGCATGTGCATCTGCATGTGCATGTGCATGCGGCATGTGAACGTGCATGTGTGGATCTGTATTTGGGCAGGGAGCGATAGGTCATCTGTTGGGGGCTGCAGGGGAGAAGCTGCTGTTGCAGTAGATGTTTATGAGAATTTCCAAAAACACCCTGCATCTTCATGTTCATCTGCGTGTGCGTGTGCATGTGCATGTGCATGTGCGTGTGCATGTGCATGTGCATGTGCAGGGAGCGATGGGTCATCTGTTGGGAGCTGCAGGGGCAGTGGAGGCAGCTGTTGCTGTGATGGCTCTGCACCATGTGAGTGGCACTGTGCTTGAACCATGTGAGTGTGGCACCTGAACTGCATATGATGTTCACATGCTCACGCAGTATGAAAGCTGCATTGGCAGTGGAGGCAGCTGTTGCTGTCATGGCTCTGCACCATGTGAGTGGCACTGTGCTTGAACCATGTGAGTGGCACTGTGCTTGAACCATGTGAGTGTGGCACCTGAACTGCATATGATGTTCACATGCTCACGCAGTATGAAAGCTGCATTGGCAGTGGAGGCAGCTGTTGCTGTCATGGCTCTGCACCATGTGAGTGGCACTGTGCTTGAACCATGTGAGTGTGGCACCTGAACTGCATATGATGTTCACATGCTCACGCAGTATGAAAGCTGCATTGGCAGTGGAGGCAGCTGTTGCTGTCATGGCGCTGTTGCTGTCATGGCGCTGTTGCTGTCATGGCGCTGTTGCCGTTATGACTCTGTTGCTCTCATAGCTGTGCACCATCTGGGTGTAACGCTGTACAGTGCATGATGCTCATGTGAACTTCACAAGTGTTTGATAGAATGTCATGGCATCAGGGCTGCAGGGGAGGTAGAGGCAGCTGCTCTACACCATGTGAGTCTGGCACTCTACATGAACCATGTGGGTGTGGCATTGTACTGTGCATGTTGCTCACATGCACACTTCCTATCCCTCTCCTACCTACCTGCCACCTCCCACTCTTAAGGGCATGATGCCTTTTAACGTTAGCCTCTTTGACCTTTCAGTCAGCTCAAGTGTCAACTTTCCGCGCTCCCCTTTCTTCCCCACTTTCCCAATTCCTTCCCTCCCTTCTCTCTCTCAACCATTACAGGGCGTCGTGCCGCCCAATGTCAACCTCATCAAACCGGACCCTTCCATTTCTCCCTTCCTTCCAATCACGCTCCTCTAATCCCCCTTCGGCTTTCCCCCTTCCCACTTTTTCAGGGGGTCGTGCCGCCCAATGTCAACCTCTTCAACCCGGACCCTGTCTTCCAAGGAAGCTAACCTCCTCCCCACTTTCCCAATTCCTTCCCTCCCTTCTCTCTCTCAACCATTACAGGGCGTCGTGCCGCCTAATGTCAACCTCGTCAACCCAGATCCTGTCTTCCAAGGAAGCTTCCTGCCGACGGCAGCAGCAGCATCAAAGCCCATGAGGGCTGTTATGAGCAACTCGTTTGGCTTCGGAGGGACAAATGCCTCACTGGTCTTTGGGCTTCCACCCGTTGCTTAGTGTTTTGGACTCGCTCTATCGGCAGCAGCATCAGCAGAAACAGTAGCGGCATCAAAGCCCATGAGAGCTGTTATGAGCATCTCGTTCGGCTTCGGAGGGACAAATGCCTCACTGGTCTTTGGGCTTCCACCCGTTGCTTAGTGTTTTGGACTCACTCTATCGGCAGCAGCATCAACAGAAACAGTAGCGGCATCAAAGCCCATGAGAGCTGTCATGAGCATCTCGTTCGGCTTCGGAGGGACAAACGCTTCCCTGGTCTTCGGCCTCCCACCACCTTCTTAGAGTTTCGTCCTTTGTATCACAAATGCAGTGGCAGCAGCAGAAGCATCAGCATCAGCAGCAGTGACAGCAGCACCAAAGCCCATGAGGACTGTCATGAGCATCTCGTTCGGCTTCGGCGGGACAAACGCTTCCCTGGTCTTAGGCCTTCCTCCTCTTGGTTAGCCCCTTTGGTACCCAATCCGCGTGCAGCACCATCAGCAGCGGCATCAGCAACATCATTAAAAGCAGCAGCAGCAACATTGAAGGCATCAGCATCAGAACCACCAGCAGCGGCATCAAAGCCCATGAGAACTGTCATGAGTAACTCCTTTGGCTTTGGAGGGACGAATTCTTCCCTTGTCTTGCCTAGCACTCGCTTCTACTCTGCTCAGCACCAGTGGCAGAGAAAGCAGCAGCACCGCCACAAGCGGTGGCAGCACCACCAAAGCCCATGAGAGCTGTCATTGTCAAATGTTGTTACCGTTTATGTTCTTAGGTCGTGAGCAACTCGTTTGGCTTCGGGGGACAAACGCGTTTCTGGTCTTCGGCCTCCCACCGTGTGAAGTCTGAATCATTGTCAACCCTGCTGCTAAGCTATACATGTAACCGTATATAGTTGTGAACATTGGGGCGTCTGACATGCGCATCTAGTGTAGTGGTATCATAGTACCCTCCCACGGTACTGACCGGGGTTCGATTCCCCGGATGCGCATTCCGGCTTTGGGCTTGCTACCAGCCAACGGTGCTGTTTTGTTTACTTTCCTGACCTTCTCCTCCCACCTATTGTCGGCTTTGTACATGATGTATGGCTGTCATCTACATGCCTCAACGTGCTGCATCAATCCCTTCCCGTGTGAGAATTCCAATTTCAGGAATTCCTGTGTGAGGATAAATCTCACATGGCAATGTGGTGCCTACCACCTAACCCCCTCAGCTTCTCATGTTCCCCCCACCTGAAGTGACCCCAATCCCTGTTTTTTGCAAATGCTGCGTTGACTCTCTTAGACTAGGTGGTGCCTCATAATACTGAATATGTCTGTATCAGCAACCTGCCCTTTCCCCTATTCCCCCCTCCGTTCACCCCTCATTCCGGCTGCCACTACCCTCATTTCCTCTCCGCTCTCCCCTCATTCCGCCTGCCATTACCTCTCATTCCCCTTCCGATCACCCCCATCCCCCCTGCCCCCTCCGCATTTCCCCTCCGCTCACCCTTCATTCCACTTGTCCTTACCCATCATTCCCCCAACGCTCACATGTCTTTCCCCCTACAATCACCTGTCTTTCCCCCTAATCACCCATCATTCCCCTGTCTTTCCCTATGCCCCCACTCACCATTCCCCCTTTCCTTAAACCCATCATTCCCCCTAAGCACATCCATCTTTCCCCAAGGAGCTCACCCCCTTTCACCAAGCACACACCCATCTTTCCCCAAGGAGCTCACCCCCTTTCACCAAGCACACACCCATCTTTCCCCAAGGAGCTCACCAATGATTCCCCCTTGCGCTCATCCCTCATCATTCCTTTGACACGCGCATTACCCAGCATCCATGATTCTCCCAGCGCACACCCAACAATCCCCCCACACTCACCCCTCTTTCCCCCCACGCTCACCCCTCTTTCCCCTCACGCTCACCCCTCTTTCCCCTCACGCTCACCCCTCTTTCCCCCCACGCTCACCCCTCTTTCCCCTCACCCTCACCCCTCTTTCCCCTCACGCTCACCCCTCTTTCCCCTCACGCTCACCCCTCTTTCCCCTCACGCTCACCCCTCTTTCCCCTAATGCTCACCCCTCTTTCTCCTCACGCTCACCCCTCTTTCCCCTCAAGCTCACCCCTCTTTCCCCCCACGCTCACCCCTCTTTCCCCCCACGCTCACCCCCTCTTTCCCCCCACGCTCACCCCCTCTTTCCCCCCACGCTCACCCCTCTTTCCCCGAGGATCTCACCCATAATTCCCCCTTGCCCATCACTCATCATTCCTTTGACCCATGCATTACTCTCCCAGCGCTCACCCAAGAGATCCCCGCACTCTCTTTTGAGGCGACTCAGGAGTCGCCCATAATCCTCTCCCTCCGCGCTCATCCCTCATCATTCTCTCGACACGCGCGTTACCCATCATCACCCATGATTCCCCCTGTGCTCACCCAACATTTCCCCCGCGCTCACTCATCTTCCCCCCAGGAGCTCACCCATGATTCCCCCTTGCTCTCATCCCTCATCTTTCCTGCACTAACCCATCATTATTCTCCCACCACTCACCCAGCAGTCCCCCAGTGCTCACCCAACAGTCCCCTAATGCACACCATCTTTCTTCAAGCACCCCACCCACGATTCCCCCCTGCCCTCACCCTTCATCATTCCTCTGACACGTGCGTTACCCATCACCCATAATCCCCACTGCGCTCAACCAACCATCCTCCCGCGCACACCCTTCTATCCCCAAGGAGCTCATCCATTAATCCCCCATGCCCTCATCTCATCCCTCAGCATTTATTTGACACGAGCGTTATTTCCCCAGCGCTCACCCAGCAGCAGTCCCATGATTCCCCCCTGCCCTAATCCCTCAAGATTCCTTTGACAAGCGCGTTACCCCATCACCCATGATTCCTCCAGTGGCTCAGCGCTCACCCAACAGCCCCCCCGCATACACCCATCTCTCCCCAAGCAGCCCACCCAGGATGCGCCCCCTGCCCTCATCCCTCATCATTCCTGCTCTAAGCCGCTCATTATTATCCTATCGCTCACCCTTCATTCCCACGCACTCACTCATCTTTCCCCAGGAGCTCATCCATGATCCCTCCCCAGCCCTCATTCCTCTGACACGCGAGTTGGAGTCACTTTTGAGAATTCTCAAAAGTGATTTCCCCCTGCTCTCATCCCCCATCGTACCTTTGACACCCAGCGCTCACCCAGCAGTTTCGCAGCGCTAACTCATCTTTCCCTTCGTGCTCGCGGATCAATATTCCTGGCATGCGGTCATTTGAGATTCGACGGGACAGAACCATAGCTTCGACCATTTATTAGGTTCCTCAAAAAGTTTCCCCGTGCTTACTCACCTTTCCTCTGGTGCTTGCCGATCATCATACCAAGCATACAGGGGTTTTCGGGGATTGACGGGAAGGAACGTCTTCAATGAAAGCTTTCGCTGATTTCGCTAACGGCGGTGCTTACGCGCCCCGAACAAACTTGCAATCCTAGCCATCCATCCCAACGGACGCCACAGTCAGGTGGTAAACCTTCGTCCAAAGTTATCGCTTGCGGTGATGTTGCGATGCACGAAAGAAGAAAACCGTCGTGATTCGTTCGGCACGATGCGGAAAAAAAGAGCGAATACCGTACAGGTCGTGTCCAACTCTTTAGAATTCTAAAAAAGGGCACGGGTCGTGTCCGATTTCTGAAAGTTGTCGTGTGTTTGTTCCGCAACTTCGATCGCTCCTGAAATCCGCGGTAATTATACCCTGGAAAATACACGTTATGGCGGAATGAAATGGTACACGCGTAAGCGACTATGCGTGCGGAGTTCGCGTGTGCTTTCACAGGCAGTGCGGGTGAGCTATGTAATCCAGGATTCCGCGGTCGTGGCTCGTGTGAGGGAACAGCTGGGGAATGGAAGTTTTCGCTATCGCTGCAGCTGATCTGTGTTTGCCTGCATGACCTCCCTCCGAACCCCACACAAACGTAAAGAAATGGGTAATACCGCTCTGACACGTACGACATCGCAACGTATAGGACCGTCCCCAACCAATTTGACCTTACCTGCTGTTCGTCAGTGTCAGGTTTGACGAAACAAAGCTTAGAAACTCGTTAACCAATCATAAGCGCCTAAACGCAACGAGGGGAACAGTCTTCAAGGGTTTCCATTCGCGATGCTACCGGGTGTTTTTTAACGAAACGTGTCTGTTTCGCAATTGCAATTCGGGGACTGGGTCCACACTCAAGGTCACACCCAAATCAAGTATCCGAGGCTCGCAAACCGAGGACCAGCCGTCCCGTCGGCCTCGGTCCTGTACGAGATTACGTTTTCCAACCACGAATCAGAACCTGCCGATTTTCACTTAAAGCGACGGGCAACTTTTGGCAGTGTTGGGTTCAGAAGTTTTTTTTTTGAACCAGGCTTGCCAGCGCGAAAGTGCTGGCTGGCGAAAACCAGGATTTCGTGCGGACACTTTCCATCCGCAGTAACAGTTCGCCAGGGTTCTGGGTTTTGGGTGGCAAATGTGCACCGTCGCTTTAAACTAATACCGTTTCGCGCTCCAGATCCTTCTATCCACTCGACATTCTCTATGTTCATGCTTCTGCTCTGATCGCTCCTCCACATATATTACAGTACAGACTCATGGCCAACGATAGGAATCATTTGACAGATGCAGAGGGACCAGCGTCGAAGCTAGTAAGGACAGCGCCTAGTGAATCCGCAAGGCAGACTGCGAAGAAATCCAGGTGTAGGAAACATGAATTCTCAGTCACTTGCCGCGACGGAAGCATGGGTAGCTATTGGTGATTATTATCAAATGCCGTCGCTTTTCACGGCGATAATCGCAGCAATCGCGTTGTACATCTCGACGACATGGCTGACTTTCCTCCGTCGTCGCTATTCCTTACCTCCGGGCCCTTCCCCGTGGCCCATCCTCGGTAACCTTCCGGACCTGGGCGTCCTGCCGTACCGCACGCTCGCGAAGTTGGCGGACAGGTTCGGTCCAATCCTGACCGTGTGGCTCGGGTCATTTCCGTCTGTGATTATATCCTCCCCGGAGCTGGCTCGTGAGGTGCTTAAAACGCAGGATAAGATCTGCTCTTCACGCCCGCTCTTACAACTTCTCGCATTCATGGTCGACGGAGGGAAGGACATTGTTTTTTCGCCGGCCGACGAACATTGGCGAACGCAGCGACGACTGGCGACGCTGCATCTCCTCACGGCGCGGGCCTTACAGCAGAGCCTAGCCGTGCGCGAGCGGGAGATCCGCGCTATGCTCGACGCGATTGCCGAGGTGGCTAATAACGGGGACGCGAGAGGCGTGGAACTGCGAGGGTATCTGAACCGCGCGACGCTGAACCTCATTCTGCGGCTGACTGTCGGGAAGCATTATACCTACAGCACGATCCGTCGCGCCGCCGCCGCCGCGCCCGGCGAGATGCTCGAAGCGGCTTACAAGACGGACTGGGAGGGACGGCTGGCCAAGGAGTCTGCGGAAATTTCGCCGCGATCTGCGGCGGAGGACGAAATGGAAGGCGAGAAGGTGATCGCGATTGTCGACGAGACGTTTCAGGTGATGGGGACATTTAACTTGGCGGATTTCGTTCCGTGGCTCAGCCCTTTGGACCCGCAGCGCATCTACTGGCGCGCAAAGCGGCTTAAACCGAATGTTGATGGGTTCCTGCTTTCCTGCATCGAGGAGAGAAGCCGGATGCTAAAAAAGCGGAGAGAGGAAGAGGAGCGAGAAAATATGGGTACAAATGGAAAAGCGGGGGTTGCGGGGACGGGAGGGGGGGATGGTGGTGAGAGAGCGATGGTGGATGCTCTGTTGGAGATGGAGGGTGAAGGGGAGGATAGGGTTACCAGGAAACATATTATGCTGCTTTGTATGGACATGATGAATGCTGGCACTGACACCACTGCTAAAACCGTGGAATGGGCCCTTGCTGAGCTGGCACGCCACCCGGCCGTGCTGGAACGTCTCCAAGCTGAGGTGGATGCGGCGCATGCCAAGTCAGCTGCAGCAGCAGCAGCAGCAGCAGCAGCAGCAGCGGCAGCAGGAGGAGAAACCAATGGGAAACAGGGCGCTGAAAATGCGTCGCTTCCAGTACAAGAGATGCCATATCTTCAGGCGGTGATTAAAGAGACTCTGAGGCACCACCCACCAGTACCGCTCCTTATCCCTCACGTGACAACTGCCAGCGTTGCTCTTGGCGGTTACACCCTCCCTCCAGACACAATCATTCAGATCAACGGCTGGGGTCTTGCTCACGATCCAACGGTCTGGACCAACCCCGATGAATTTGACCCCAGCAGGTTTCTCGGCCCGTCTGCCCCTGATGTGACCGGGCAGGATTTCAGTGTCCTGCCATTTGGTTCGGGCAGGCGTGGGTGTGTGGGGATGAACCTGGGCATGGATCTATCTGCTCGCATGCTGGCAAATTTTATTTATCGGTTTAGCTTGAAGCTGCCCGAAGATGTGATCAAGTCTGGTGGAGTGGACTTGAGAGAGGAGTTTAGTCTTACTGTGGCACTGGCAAAGCCACTGCGGCTTGTGCTCCTGGAGAGAAAGTGAAGGGAGGGACGGAAGGCTGGTCCATTTGTAGTTGGGGAGCTGAGCTGGGCTTAGCTATCCTGTTGTTCACAGTGTACCGTCATCCAATATTGAAACATAAATGCGAATGGTAGTGTGCATTGGGAGGGCTTGAGTGCCTGTTGGGAGGGCTGTAAAATCAACTGCTCGGACAGAGGCAATTGACATGTTAGTATGCTGGTCCTTGCCAGTTCAGTTTACATGCTGGTTCAGTTTACTTCTGCATAAGGCAAACTTTCTTGAAGAGGCATGAGGTCGTGTCACACATTGACTTAGTGGCATTGCAAAGAGATATCATTTCTAAACAGCCGTGTGTGTCAGTTAGGTGTGTGGGCAGTGGAATCTCTTGGGTACATGGTAGCAGTCAGTAATCCTCAATGAACCTGTGTATTTCAATAAGAGGAGTGAGCAATGGAGGGGAGAGATGGAGCGGAGAAAGAAAGCGCATCAGCAAAAGACATGCATCAAACGATGGAAGCCAAAACGCATGTGCGGTCATTGGTCCCCACCCATAGCAATACAAACGACAGATGCGTGGGAATCACAGAACATGAGCTTCACTCTTATTACTCTGTGATGAAGCGAGACTTCCTTAAAAAGCATGAAGAAGAGAAGGGTGCTTCTGCCATCGACTTACCAACACCTCTACTCACCATACTTGGAACCTTTCTTTCACCTCGACTGCTGACTTCACCAACGCTTGTCTCACTCCCTGTCCCTCTCGACTTGCAACAGGTGTTGCCACCACTCCTACTGCTCCTGCTGCTTGGGAATAACGCCTCAACTATTAATGTGCCTCTTCCTCTACTCAACATTCAATGCACAAAACCTTCACCTTTGCTCTTTACTATCTCTACCCAAGGACATTGATGATTCTGCCACTGACCTTGACACTCACCTTGCCACTGCTGCTGCTGCCACCATCCCGGCTGCTGGTCCTGCCAGGGCATGTGAGCTTGTGAAAGGGCCAGTGCGCTTTTTGGCACTCTCTGCTGCAATACGCCACCTTGCCACACCCAGAGCAGTTCTTCAGCTTCACACCACCGCCGTCCGCCCTCCCACACCCCACAGCACCGCACACACGGTCCCCACAAGGAGCAGGCGCACAGCTCACTAGGGTTGTTACTGCTGGAGGGATGGGAGCCTCAGCACGGGAGGAAGGGCGGTAGCACGGCTCCCCCAGCAGCATCTCTCGCAGACATGCCAGCAAATTGACCCCCCCCCGCCATGGCTTGAGGTAATCTGGCAAATCTACTCTCCCCTCACTGTAGCTGCCGCCTCTGCCACCACTGCTGCTGCTACAGCTCCCCTTGCTGCTGCTGCTGCTGCTGCTGCTGCTGCTGCTGTTGCTGCTGCTGCCAGCGCTGCTGCTACTACCCGATCCATCCTGGCTGTCCACGTCAGCACGGAACCTCGCCTGTGCCGCCTCCCGGAACATCGCAGCGACCAGCAGCTTCGTGTGCACCCGCTTGTGCACCTCCTGGCTGCCCCTACAGGGAGGGCTGAGCCCCGATGCGACGGACTCAGGGTCAAACCACTTGCCTGTAGCCCTCACACTGGACGGCCAAGCCATCACTGCAGTGGCACACCAGGTTCGCACCTCCTCCCACACCTCTCCATCATCCTCCTCTTCCACCTCTCCCACCTCTCGCCCCCCACCGTTTCTTTTACTCCCTGTTCGGTGCCCTTTCCTCGCTCGATACTCTGCAATTTTCCGTTCAGCTTCCCCTCGCGCTTCCACCATCCCCATCTTCATCACCTCGTCGATTCCGAGGATGAAAATGGGCCAGTTCAGGGCGATCATGAGCAGCATGAGCAGAGGGAGCTTTTCCGCTTGATCACGAACGGAGGACAGGTTACGACTCGCAGCTGCTCTTGCAGGTGAGGGGTCGTGCAGATGCAGCGTCTGTGCAAGCTGGGTGAACTCAGGGGAGGGCGGCGGGAAGATGGAGACGAAGCGGTTGAAGAGGACGGAAGCGGGGCGGTAGGCGAAGTTGGCAATGAGAGCAGAGAAGGGAATGAAGACGTTGAATCGGGCGAAGCATGAAATGCACTTGGCGCACGCTGGGGAATCAAAGAACCAGCTGCCTGCAAACAGCAGGAATTCCACATCAGCTGTGCAGCGAATGATAGGAAGCTTCCCCTTTAAAGGCAACAGCGCGCGTGTGGGAGCATCTGAGTGGGTTTTTTGGTCGCCTCTGTCCCCCGTGTTGCTTCTGCCCCTTCCATTTCGCCCCCTCCCACACTTGCGCTTGCCTCCTCCACCCTTAGCTGCCTGCTCCAATGGCCTCTCTCTAACCTCCCCTCCACTCCCATCCTCCTCTCTTGCCGCACACCCCTCACTCTTCTCTACAATCCCCAGCCCAAAGCATCTTGCACTTGGCTCCTCAGGAAGCTTCACAGCAGCTTCATCGCCCCGGGGCCACTCGTCCCACTCCAAGGAGAAGCTGGCTCAGCCCTCCCCCACCTTCCCCTGCTGCAACCCTCCCGCTCCCAGCCTCAGCTTCTTGTGCCATGCCGCTTCCGCTGCCCATTTCTTCCGCCATGCCACTTCTGCCCTCCACAGCCCGTGCCATCGCTTCAGCCATGAGTCGGATCCCCGTCTCCCACGACGCTTCAGGGCTCCCCATCCACGGCATCATCACCACCTCTCTAGCCATCCTGCCGTCTTTCAACCTCCCTATGTCCTCAATAGACCCCCTAACCACGCCATCTTCTTGCTCCTCCCCTTACCCTCCCATCCGCATGCGTCTTCTCAGCAGTCTCCCCCCCAGCTCCCTCCTTCCTCTTCGCATGCGCCTTCTCCAGCCCGCCTGACAGCACATGCTGCACGAAGAACCCAAACCCTTCCTTCAGATCAGCACTCTCCTTCACCCCCAGCACCTGCACCAGCGTGGACGCGGCGACATCCGGCTGTCCCTGCCGGCTTACTCCCAATTCGACCGCGAGGGAAGGGTAGGCTGTGTCATAGAGCTCCTTCTGAGCCTTCCATAGAGTCACGAACCGAGGGAACCTCGCTACAAGCGCGAGGAAGGCAGCGAAGCTGACAGCACGGCGGTAGGCAGCCCAGCAGCCGCTGCAGCGCCAGCAGCTGGACCACGCTGCAGCAGCAACAGCTTCAGGTTCCGCAGGACTGGTCGTGGGAGGAGGAGCAGAAGAGTCGCCAGAAGCGAAAATAACAGGCAGGCGGGATCTGATCCTCCCCAGGTCCATGAGCACACCTACACGAGGCTCAGCCATCCACTCGAGAAGCATTGCCTCCACGCATTGGTAGGGCGCGTTTCTCTCCTTCCACTCCAACTGTACCAACGGTGGTACCCCCCCCAGGCCCCCTAGGGCCTGCACCGGCACTCTCAGGGAGAACTCGAGCTCGGCCCTGCTTTGGTGGATCGGTGGCGCAGCAGGAACGGAAGAAGGAAGCATGTTGTGTAGTTCAAGACGGAAGGTTTCGATGTTGCCAATGTTGAGAGCGCGCTGTGCTCGGTAGCTCACTGCCCGGTCGAAGCAGCACTCGCATTCCTTCACATCCCAACCATCTCTCACGTCTACGTAGTGAACCATGTCTGCGCGCGACAGCAGCTGACGCTTCGCTGGTCTTTCCTGAACCCTCGTTCTCTCAGTTTCCCCCACCACTGCGTTTCGCTCCTTTGCCTGTCCTGGTCCTCCCCTTTCGTCTTGGACTTGCAACTCCTCCAGCATCTCCCGAACCTCCTCCGAACCTGACAGAATTCGACGCGTTGCTTCCAGAGCTACCATAGAAGCGGTAGAGGCGTCAGGGGAGATTAACGCATGAGCCTTTCCTTTTTCCCCCCAGCCTTCTTCTGGGAATCCTTTCATCTGACCGTGCTCCTCCTCTTCGTCGCTGCTGGAAGCAATGTGGTCCCATCTGCTGTAGTCAATAGAACTGGTGGTAGCGGCAGCAAGAGGAGCAGCTACATCAGGAAGCGCAGCAGCAGCAGGTGCTGCAGCTGGAGCAGGAGAAGTGGGAGGAGGAACAGCAGGAGCAGCAGCAGCAGCAGGAGCAACAGCAGCAGGCGCTGCAGCTGGGGCAGGAGAAGTGGGAGGAGGAACAGCAGGAGCAGCGGCAGGAACCACAACAGCAGCAGGCGTCGCAGTGGTAGCAGCACTAGGTGGAGCAGCAGCCGCAGCAAGAGGCACGTTTGCAGCAGGTGCAGCTGCAGGGCTGATCACACCCTGTTCAGCTTTCGCCTTAGCCTTATCCAGTCCGCCTCTAAGCACAGCTTTCACGGGAAGCACCTTGATGGTTGAATTCGATTTGACCTTCGCTTGTTCTACTGTTGAATCAGGTGAGAGGTACACCACCTGGCCAAGTACCATAAAACGGACCTGCTGGGTCCGAGCTGCTGACGGACTTTCCTCCAGCGCTCTCTCGCCGTCTAATGCTCGTTCTTGTGCTTCGCATGGTAAGCAGCAGCCTGGAAGATGTGTCTGAAATAGTCTGTTGAAGACTAATCGAAGCGGCTCTTTAGGAGATGCAGGTATGTGAACGTCCACGTAGGACGATTGAGATAACTTATTTTCTGAACAGCTGTCGGTACATATGCTACTGACGTCGCCATTGCTAGAGCCGGCTGCCTCTTTGCTACTACAATTGTCGGATTCCCGTCGGATCAAATCGGGTGGGACCTTGAACCTAACATTGAAAGACATTTTGTCGGGACGATTACTTCAGTGCAAGTTACGGAAAAAGAAGACAATGCACATAAAATGTGTTCCCTTTCCCGTAAGATAAGACGAAGCGCTTCCGTATGAGAAGAATCGAGTGTAAGCTAGAAGGTGTTGCCATGTGCGGATATGGATGTCAGGAATGAAGGCGAAAATGAAAGAAATTCCAGAATTCCTTTGCTCGTGCTAGCAATCTTGATATTTGTTCGTCAGGGAATTTGGATTGGCGGGCCGCAAACTGAAATGCTGGGTCAGAAAGGCATCCAGGTCCAAGAAAGGAATCCAGGTCGCTAGTGTGGTAACAAAACCGACGATCCCCAGATGTGTTGGAACTTCGCAACGAGGAATCGGGCTGTTGCGGAATTTGAGACAAACAAGAATAAGTGGGAATCAGGAATCTAAAACGGAGTTCGCCTGACCGCGCTCAAAGTTCACCAACTGTGATGGATCCAGTCGGGTAACCAGCCCAGCGCAGTGTCACCTCGATTTCGAAATTCTGAACCTTCTGGCGGTTCTCGAACACGACCCGATCTCTTCGGCTCACGTCAGCTAGGCAACGAGGCAGTTCACTACAGAGAGGATCTGTGAAACAATTTAGTCGAAACGATTTTTGAGGCACCACATAAATCCAGGGTTTAGTTACTGCAGGTGTCATAGCGGAGAAGCGGCCGAAGTCGCGGAACAGACAAACGACAACAACTTACAGGAATCGGACATGATCTGTACGCTAAGCGCTTCTTTTTCCTTCCGAACGAAGCATGACACGTTCCTTGATCCGTCAAAACATCACTCTAAGCGAAAATTTTGAACGTAGGTTTATACTTGACCATGGCACCCGTCTAAATGACTCAGGGTTGCAAGGACGTTTGAGCGCGGAAGATCCGCCGGAGCGAGATTATTGAGAAGTATGGTTCCTTCCCGTCGATCCCCGAATGACCGCATGCTGGGATGATGATCGGCGAGCACGAAGGGAGAGAGGAGTGAGCGCGGAAGGGGCTGCTGGATGAGCGCTAAGAGAATCATGGACGATGGGTAACGGCCGTGTCAAAGTAACAATGAGGGATGAGAGCAGGGGGGAGTCATGGGAGAGCGCAGGGGGAAAGATGGGTGTGCGCCGGGGGACTGTTGGATGAGCGCTGAGGGAATCATGGACGATGGGTAACGGCAGTGTCAAAGTAACGATGAGGGATGAGAGCAGGGCCCCCCCTGGGATGAGGGCAGGGGGGAATAATGGGTGAGCTCCCGGGGGGAAGAATGGGCGTGCGCCTGAGGAAAGATAGGTGAGCTTAGATGGGTGGGTGGGGTGGGTGCTGGGAGGGTAACGCGTGTTCAAGGAATGATGAGGAACGAGCGCAAGGGGAATCATGGATGACTTCTGAGTCCACTCAAAAGTGCATGCGCGGCTGGGTGGGCGTTGGGGAAATAGCGCACTTGCCAAAGGAATGATGCGGGATGAGTGCAGGGGGTAATCATGCGTAACTTCTGAGTCGGCCCAAAAGTGAGCCCGGTGATACTGCTGGGTGAGCGCGGGGAGAATAACGCGCGTGTCAAAGGAACGATGAGGGATGCGGGCAGGGGGGAATTATGGTTGAGCTCCTCGGGGGTCTGCGCCTGGGGAAAGAGTGAGCGTAGGGGGAATAACGGGTTTTAGAGAGAGAGGGGACGGTGGGTGAGAGCACGTGGAGAGAGGGGTGAGCGTAGGGGGGATGATGGATGAGCGTAGGGGGGATGATGGATGAGCGTAGGGGGGATGATGGATGAGCGTAGGGGGGATGATGGATGAGCGTAGGGGGGATGATGGATGAGCGTAGGGGGGATGATGGATGAGCGTAGGGGGGATGATGGATGAGCGTAGGGGGGATGATGGATGAGCGTAGGGGGGATGATGGATGAGCGTAGGGGGGATGATGGATGAGCGTAGGGGGGATGATGGATGAGCGTAGGGGGGATGATGGATGAGCGTAGGGGGGATGATGGATGAGCGTAGGGGGGATGATGGATGAGCGTAGGGGGGATGATGGATGAGCGTAGGGGGGATGATGGATGAGCGTAGGGGGGATGATGGATGAGCGTAGGGGGGATGATGGATGAGCGTAGGGGGGATGATGGATGAGCGTAGGGGGGATGATGGATGAGCGTAGGGGGGATGATGGATGAGCGTAGGGGGGATGATGGATGAGCGTAGGGGGGATGATGGATGAGCGTAGGGGGGATGATGGATGAGCGTAGGGGGGATGATGGATGAGCGTAGGGGGGATGATGGATGAGCGTAGGGGGGATGATGGATGAGCGTAGGGGGGATGATGGATGAGCGTAGGGGGGATGATGGATGAGCGTAGGGGGGATGATGGATGAGCGTAGGGGGGATGATGGATGAGCGTAGGGGGGATGATGGATGAGCGTAGGGGGGATGGTGGATGAGCGTAGGGGGGATGATGGATGAGCGTAGGGGGGATGATGGATGAGCGTAGGGGATGAGTGGAATGATGGGTTTAGGGAAAGGGAAATGGTGGGTGAAGGCATGGGGAGAGTGGGGTGAGCCGTAAGAGCAATGATGGGTTTGAGGATCGGGGGAATGGTGGGTGAGGGCACGGAGAGAGAGGGGCGAGCGCAGGGGGAATGAGGTAAGCGCACGGATAGCATAAGGGTTGTGTGTGTGGTAGAAGAGGTTTAGGGGAAGGGGGAATGGTGGGTGAGGGTACTATGAGATAAGAGTGTGGAGGGGTATGAGGGGTGAGATGAGCGCAAGGGTATTCAGGGTGAACGCGCATGGGCAGGCGGAACGAGGGGCTAATGGAGGGGAAATGCAGGATCAGGGTAGGAGGGATGAGGGGTGACTGGAAGGGGAACGAGTTGAAAGGGCAGGCGGAATGGGAGTGACGGAATGAAGGGTAAGGGCAGGCGGAATGAGGGGTAAGGGCAGGCGGAATGAGGGGTAAGGGCAGGCGGAATGAGAGTGACGGAATGAGGGGTAAGGGCAGGCGGAATGAGGGGTGAATGCAAGAGGGATGAGGGGAAAGGGCAGGGCATGCAGAACGAGGGGTGAATGTCAGGCGGGCGATGTCAATCATCCTGGTTTCGAAAGTTGTGTCCAAAGCCCCTCGTGGTCCCTACGTGTCAGTTTCCAAAGCCCCTCTATCATATGTACGTACCGCTAATAATTTGCCTCAATCTAGAAATGGCAGCAGATGGATCCCCCCATCCAGCCTATTTGTCCGGGATACTGTGGGGAATTATCATGCAAATAACAGCAAAACGGTACCCTTAGTGTCGAGTTGTCGTGATTGTTTTGAGAAGCAGCTGAAGCGCTTCTAAAGACAGGGTTCTCCCAAACAGCGCATTGCCCACAAGCAAGGATGCGGTACAAGATAGCAGCCACACGCTGTCATGAAACCTGTGTGGATCCATACGAGAGTCGGGCAGCGGGGGAGAGGAGCAGAGAAAAAAGACGCATTTGAGTAAAATGATTCAGCTAAACAAATGAGGCAAAACACATGTATGGATGGCCATCGTTCACACTGACAGCAAAAACATGAGCCTCGTACATGTGGTGAACCTGGTTACTGCTCCTCTCGACTCCTCTCCTCCACCAAACAAAAGACCTACATCATCGAGTTACTTCTACCTCTAATCACCTGCTGTCCTTGCTCTCTCATCTTGCCACTCACCTTGCCACTGCTCGTCCCACTCTTCTTCCCATTGCTCCTGCCGGGGCATGTGAGCTTGTGGGAGGGCCAGTGCGCCTTTTGGCACTCTCTGCTGCAATACGCCACCTTGCCACACCCACCACAACTCCTCAGCTTCACACCACCACCCCCCACCCTCTCACATCCCTCAGCACCGCACAGATGCCCCTCATAAGCAGAAGTACCAGGGCCTTTTGAAAATGAAACTCGTGCACTTGCATGGTTTGGCACCGCAGCGTTGGCGTTCACACCAGAATAGGTGGCAGGGGCAGCAGGGGGGGCAGGGAGGTAGCACGGATCCCCTAGCAGCATCTCTCGCAGACATGCCACCAGATTGGTTCCCCCTGGCCACGGCTCCAGGTAAGCCGGCATCTCCGCTTTCTTTCCCTTGCGCTCACTGCTGCTGTCACCGATGTCTTTGCCGCCACTACTGCTGGCAGAACCACCCCTGTTGCTGTTGCTGCTGCCGCTGTCACTGCCACTGCCAGCACCACTGCTTCTACCTGAACCATCCTGGCCGTTCACGTCAGCACAGAACCTCGTCTGTGCAGCCGCCCGAAACATCTCAGTGACCAGCTGCCTGGTGTCCACCTCCCTTGGCGGCTCCGTGCTGCCCTTGCAGTCCAAGCTGACCGCTGCAGCGATAGACCCAGCATCGTACCACTTGCGTCCGTCCCTCACACTCGCAGGCCAGGCCAACACCGCTGTGTCACACCACGACAGCACTTCCTCCCACGCCTTCCACACATCCTCCTCATCCGCCCCCTCCTCCTCTCCATCTTCCTCTTCTCCTGTTCCACACCCTGCCCTGGCGCCTTTCGTCTCTCTCTGCTCAGCCCTCCTCTCCTCGGCTCCCTGTCGCTCTTGCACCATCTGCGTAGGCCACTTCAGAGCAATCACGAGCAGCAGGAGCATGGGCAGCCTTTCCGCATGATCACGAAGCGCGGGCAGGCTCAAACGGAGAGACACGTATGAGGAGAAGGGGTTGTTCAAGCACAGCGTGTCTGCAAGCTGGGCGAGTTCCAAGGAGGGCGGTGGGAAGACATGCACGAAGCAGTCGAAGAGAACAGACGCGGGGCGGTAGGCGAAGTTGGCAATGACAGCAACAAAGGGAATGGCGGATTTGTACTTGGAAAAGCATGTTGCGCATTCGGCACATGCTGGTGGTGGAAACAACCTGCTGGCGACGTCCACAATGAAGTCAATATCCGCCCGGCAGCGAACAATCGGAAGTTCCTTCTTAGAAGTCAACATCTGGCGTGCAGCTGTAGGAGCATTGGTGTGGCTTCTCTGGGTGCCACCCCAGTTGCTCCTTCCGCCCCGTCCGCCTCCCTTATGGCTAGCTGCCCTTCCACTTCGCCCCCTCTCACCCTTGCGCTTGCCTCCTCCTCCTCGCCTTGCTGCCTTCACAGATGTTTTCTCACCACCCTCACCTCGCTCCTCTCCATCCCCTCTCGCATCAGTCTTCGCAGCCGCATCACTCTCCTCACTCTCCTCCACGATCCCCATTCCAAAGCATCTTGCATTCAGGTCATCAGGAAACTTCATGGCATCTTCATTGCTCTGGGGCCATTCGTCCCACTCACAGAAATGTCTGGCTCCAACCAGAGGCTTGGGGATGGCACCAAACCTGACCAGCAGGCTTGGGAGCTCGCGAAAGGGGTGGCGTATGGGCAGGTTGTGCTCCTGTGGGCTGTCCTTGAAGCATTGCATCTCCGAGATGGAATCTGAGCCGTAGATGCGCACCCACTGCAAGATGCAACTGACTCGATATGTGAAGGCAGCAAGAACGGGGTTGGAATTGACCGGCACACGCACAGCGGTGGAGACTGCACTGGAGGCAGTAGAAGCCTGGGCTCCAGCTGATGGAGCAGAGTCAGGAGAAGAGGCAGCTAGCAGTGGTGGTGCTTCTGCAGCTGCGGCTGCATCTGCAGGTGCATATCCTGCTGCCACCCCTCCGCCTGCTCCTGCTGCTCCACATCCCCTTCCCCTCTCACTCGTCTCCCTTCTCTGCCTATCCCTTCTCTGCCTCTCTCTTTCCAGCCTCACCCTCGCCTCTTCAATAGCTGCATCCTCCACCTGTGCCTTGCTGGCGTTGTTCCCATCTAGGATGTAAACACACGCATCTGAGCAATTCTCCGGCTTGGAAAGTACTCCGGCGACTCCAAAGGCGAAGTCGGTGGCACCCGTACCACTAACATACATGCCCTTGGGAATATCCCTGCCTTCCATGTTGCCCCGGCCGCCATTCCCATGAATACTGCCACTGCCAACACTGCTGCTGCAGCCCAACCCGCAGTGGCTGCACCCGAACTGCCTCCTTGCTCCCCCTCCATGCTCCAGAATCCAAGCCATGCCATCCACATACCTCTCCCACACACGCCCCTTCAGATGCTCCTTCCACTTCTCATCCTTTTTATCCCTGCCACCATCACCGACAATCCTATTTGGCCACTTCTTGCTGCCTTTCTTCTCCCCTCCACTACCCTTTCCCCCATCACCTGCTCGACCCTTCTCCCTTTCCTCCCCCTGCGTCTTCTCAGCAGTCTCCCCCCCAGCTCCCTCCTTCCTCTTCGCATGCGCCTTCTCCAGCCCGCCTGACAGCACATGCTGCACGAAGAACCCAAACCCTTCCTTCAGATCAGCACTCTCCTTCACCCCCAGCACCTGCACCAGCAGGGAAGCCAAGCAGTCCGGCTGTTCTTGACGAATGGCATCTAATGCGACTGCAATGCCAGGAAAGGCTGTATCATAGAGGTCCTTCTGAACCTTCCATAGCGTCACAATTCGCGGACACCTCGCTACAAGCGCGAGAATTGCAGCGAAGCTGACAGCACGGCGATAGGCAGCCCAGCAGCTGCGGCAGCGCCCGCAGAACGACGACACTGCACAAGAAACCGCAGGTTTCACGGGACCAAGAGAAAGAGGGGTAGAACCAGCAGGAGCGGGAACAGGTACATGACAATGGCCAGTGCAAAGAATGACAGGCAGGTAGGATCTGATCCTCCCCAGGTCCATGAGCACGCCCACACGAGGCTCAGCCATCCACTCGAGAATCATCGCTTCTGCGCATTGGAAAGGCGCGGATGCTGCCTTCCTCTTCAACTGCTCCAGCGCTGCCATCCCCTGCAGGCGTTCAGACTCCCGCACTGGATACCTCATCTCCCACTCGAGATCGCACCGGGATGAGTGGGGACGTGGATCAGCAGGGACGGAATCAGGAAGCGGGTTCTTCATTTCAAGGCGGAAGCTGTTAAGGTCGGCCATGTCGAGAGCGCACTGTGCCCGGCTGCTCACTGCCCGGTCGAAGCAGCACTCGCATGCCTTCAGATCCCAGCCACCTCTCACGTCCAAGTAATGAACCATGTCCGCTCGCAACAGCAGTTGAAACGTCTCTAGTGTTCCATAATCCTCCATTCCCTCTGCTCCCTCCACTGAAGTTTGCTCCTCTCCCTGAACTGGTCCCTCACATTCGCCTGAATCTTGGAGCTTCTCTCGCCTCTCCATCCCACGAGGCTCCTCCTTACGTGCTGTCTCCAGAGCCAATCTCTCGTCATCAAACCTAGTCGTGTCAGACATACAATCCACATGGATCAAAGAGGCCAATGAAGCGAGAGAAGGTTCAGCTTCCACAGAGGCGATTGGAGGGACAGTTGGCTCTGACACCTGAGCCTTTCCTAACCCCCTACCGCCTTCTGATCTTTCCATCCGCCGGTGCTCCTCCTCTTCCCCGCTGCTACAAGCGTTGTGATTTTGTTTGCTGCGGTCAATAGAGCTGGTGGTAGCAGCTGCAAGAGGAGCAGCCACATCAGGAAGCACAGCAGCAGGTGTTGCAGCTGGAGCAGGAGAAGGAGGAGCAGCAATAGCAGCAGCAGGAAGAGGCGGAGGAGGAAGCACAGCAGCAGCAGGCGCAGCAGTGGTAGCAGCACTAAGAGGAGCAGCAGTGACAGCACGAGGCACATCGACAGCAGAAGCAGCAGCAGGACCGATCACACCATGTTCAGCTTTATCCTTGCTCTTATCCAATCCGTCTCTATGCACAGTTTTCACGGGAAGCACCTTGATGATTGAAGTCGACTTGAGCTTCGCTTGTTCTACAGTTGAATCAGGCGAGAGGTATACAACCTGGCCAAGAACCATGAAATGGACCTGCTGGGTCCGAGGCGCTGACTGACTTTCTTCCAACGCTCTATCACCGTCTAATGCTCGTTCTTGTGATTCGCATGGTAAGCAGCAGTTTGGCAGATGGGACTTAAATAGTCTGTTGAATACTAATCGAAACGGCTTTTTAGGAGACGCAGGTATGTGAAGGTCCACGTAAGACGATTGAGATGGCTTACTTTGAGAACAGCTATTGGTACATATCATACTGACGGTGTCACTACCAGAGCATTCCGTTACCTCTTTGCCGCTATCGTCAAATTCATGTCGAATCAAATCACGGGGGACCCTGAACCTAACTTCGAAAGACATTTCGTCGGGACGATTTCTTCAAGCGCTAGTTACTGCAAAGAAGACATTGCTGATCGCCGCATTCATGTAGAATCGAATCAGGAGGGACCCTAAAACGAACACTGAAAGACATTTCGTCGCGACAATCTCTAAAGTGCTAGTTACGGCAAAAAAGACATGCAATTAAGATTCAGACGAGAATTCACTCGAGGTGTTCTTAAACGAGACGAGGCGAAGTATGTTGCCATGGGAGGATACGGATGTCTGCATCAATGGAAGGCAAACAGGTTTCTATATTGTGCCTGTCATCGCATCTGTAGTAAGTTCGGTTTGGTGGGCGGCATTCCGTAGCGGCAGGGCAAACGTAGCCCTGGATATTTTGCGGGAAAGCAATGTGGTAACAAAACAGTTGCGAAATAGAGAGAACCAGGATTGGGTGCGAGCAGGAAAACGAAAATGGACGAGGGGCAACCTCACAAACCAAAGGGTTCAACAGTTCTAGTTCAAACATTCCGGTAACCAGCTCAGTGTGGTGTCACCTCGACTTTGAGCAATCTGATCCCTGGTAGTTTCGATGGTTCGCGAACACCCCTTCCTGGAGACCATTTCGTCAACGTCAGCAAACAGGCTCAACCTCAAACCCCCATCTTTGCCCCAAGCAGCACCTAAAATTATAATCCTGCTTTGATTGTGTTGTGCACATACCTAGAACTAGCGTCCTGGAGAACCATACCTAGCCGACCATGGAGAGTAAGTTGTTAGCGAATTTCGCGAATATGACTAGGCTGTTGCAGTTCGAACTAACAAATGCATTTTCCAGGTAAACGCCTGTTGCACAAAGTTATTACGGAGGGAAATTTTAATGAAGTGCTGAAGGTTCTGGACAAGGGAGTCGACATTGAAGCGAGGGACGCTGTAAGAAAGCTCCCTTTCGCTTCGTATTCTTAACATCCCAGAATTGAATCATGACGTCAAATGTTTTCGAATTTCAGGAAGGCCAAACTCCTCTCCACGTGGCTGCAAGGCTCGGCCACGAGCGCATTGTCGACGTCCTTCTTATCAAAGGCGCGAAAGCTGAAGCACGTGACACTTGGGTTCGTAACATGCAACTTGATTGCTGTTTTCCCCATGAACATCCGTGCAAAATCTTCGTCGCATGTATCAGGGCCAATGGACTGCTCTGCATCATGCCGTTTGGGGAGGTGGAACTGGAGCTGTTAAGCGTTTGCTGGACCATTCCGTTGACAAAGATGCACAGGACAAGGTTAGATTCTTTTTGTTTGAAAAAGGTCAAAAGAGGGCAATTTTTAGTGTTGTCTGAGTCACACTCACTCCTACCACAGGAAGGTCAAACGCCTCTCCATCTCGGTGCAATGCTTGGACGTATCGTGGAAGTCATTATGCTGCTGGAATCTGGAGCCAATCACGATGCACGGGATCAGGTCAGGTATTTCTTGTGTGATAAGGAGACATCCTTTCACGCTGTCTACTGAAACGACCAAGTGTCATGCAGAAATTCTTTACCCCGCTGCACTGCGCAGCAGCATTCGGCACAGTCGAGCTCGCACAAGTATTGCTGCAAAGAGGAGCTGACAAAACTGCCAAAACAAAGGTAAGAACCTCAAACCGTGACGTTTCCAGTGTATCCGATATCAACCAAATCTCTTGCTACAGGATGGGAAGACACCATTACAAATAGCCGAGTCCAATAAGCGCCATGACGTCGTCCAGATGTTTCATCGTTATGGATCAAAGCGCTCAAGTCAGGTATGTTGCAGTTCGGTTTATAAGGCATTGTTGCCTGCGAACATGGTCGTTTATGACATTGCCTACTGTCTCAGGTAAATGCTGCTTCTATACAAGGAACTATCAGCCAAGTGGAGATAATGAAACGAGCTGAGAATTCTGTCGGCAAAGCATATGATGAGATTGCTGTCCGAGAAGCATCAGGCAGGATTGAAAAGCTCGAATTATTTCTACAAGAAGCACAAAAGAAGGCTGTAGCTGAAGAAAAGAGGAGACTTGAAGCTGAGGCGAAGTTTGTCACCGAGTCTAACAAGCGGAAGGAGGCCGAAGCGAGAGCCTTGGATGAGGAGAAAAAACGGAAGGACGCAGAGGCACGGAAGAGGGTTCTCGAAAAGCAAATGGCTGACGCTATGTACACAGCAAGTGAAGGGGAACAGCTGAGACAAGAGATGGAAACTCAGCTTGATTCTGAGAGGTCTCTCCGGATCAATGCCGAGAAGAAAGCTATTGAACATCAACGAAGGCTGGAACTGGTGGAGTGCCAGCTGCATGAGGCTGCACATTTGAGACGCGTGGCAGAAGTCAAGGCGAAGGAGGAAGAAGCGAAGCGGCAGAAGCTTGAGGCAGCATTCAACGAGGTTGAGAAAACGCATAAGGAGTATAATGTGAAAGTGAAGGCTGATCAGGAGGTTTTGAAGGGCATGACCTTGAAGCTTGAAGATTCAGAAAACAAGAGGCTGGAGCTGGAGCAAAAGTTGAAAGAGGAAGCTGAAAGGTGCCGCAAGATGGAAGCGTTTAATCGCCAAGAACTGAAGCTCAGAAAGGAGGAGGAAAAAATGCGAAGGGAGTTTCAGGCCAAGCTTCAGGAGGAAGGAAAGAAGCGGTCTCTGGCAGAGCTTAGAAGTGGAGATGAAGCAAAGAAACGAGCTCGAGCTGAGATTAAGGCTCTGGCGGAAGAGGGGAAGGTGCATGAGCTGGAGGCAAAGCTAGGTGAAATGTTGGCCAGGAACAAGGAGCTGGAGAAGAAACTTGCTAATGTTGGTACGGTGTTTGGAGAGCAGATTTCGGAGAAATTTCAGCAGAGGAAGGATGCTGAAGCGACTGTGACAGTGAAGGAGGGTGAGGAAGAAAACCTGAAAGCAGATTCCTTGAGTTCTGATGTCAATGGTGCTGCAGTGGCTGAAGAGCTGTTGTCCCAGGAGACTGGAGTGAGCTCTCAACACGAAGAACTGCTGAGGCTGAGGGAGTTGGTGAAGGTGCAGGAGCGCCAGCTTGATGAGTCCAAGGAAGTGATCAAGACGCTTATGTCTGCAGCTGAGATGGGAAGTTCAGTCAGGACATCTCGAGCTTCAAATGACCCTATCTCCCACGCAAGATTGTCTGCAGCAGAACCTCCTGCTGGATCCACAAGTGAAGCTGATGAGGAGGAGGAAGGTGCAAAGGAGCCAGAGATTCAACAGCAGCATTTCAAATCGGATGTTGAGGTCTTGAGGTCTGAGAACGCATCTCTTCAGTCTGCACTACAGAATCTTTCTGCAAAGGTAAAACCTGCAATCCCTTTTAAATCTTGTATGTACAGTATGTTCCTAACATGCATTTCTCATGTGCAGATCCTTGAACACTCTGATTGCAAGAGCATGATTGAAGATCTCCAGGCTGAGCGGAAGAATCTGAAAGATCAGCTGGCCCACGAACAGAAATTGCGAGAAGAGCTGAACATTGAAGTCAAAGAAGCTAGACGGAAAAAAGAAGAGGCAGAGATAAAGGCTGCAGCTATGAAGGAGTGTCTTGCAAAAGTTGAAGTCAGCGGACATCCTTCCAATGCATCTTCAAAGGATAGTCCCAGCAAAGGACCAACAATGCTGGAGAAGCTGAAGATGCGGACACCAAGGATGTTTGAGATTCCACACAAGTGATGCAGAAGTTTCGAACATGGTGATGGTGGTTGTAGAATGCATCAAGGTTCGGCATAGTGAGGTATTCTTTCCAGTCCATGGATACCCAGGATAAATAGGAGTGCATAATGTTGGGTTGGTGGACTGAGCATAGACTGAGCATTGAGTGATGGCATTAGAGCAAATAACTAGACATTGATATTGCAATATACTGTAGCACAGGTTATTAATTTCCCGTTCTACTTGCAGGATCAAAGTATGGTAGGTCCTTATTCCAGCGTCATGGTCTTCCCTGTGTCAATCTCTCTTGCACATGCTTCAGGGCTCGCCCAGCTGCCTCATTTGCAGGTACCTTCATTTCCACCACCAGACGTTGAAATTCTTCACGTACTGCCACAGCAAATTGCTCTCGAGCCGCTGCTGCCGCCGCTGCTGCAGCTGCTGCAGTAACCACTGCCGATGGTGCCTTGATAGCTGAAGACGTTGGTATTACTTCATTATTGACCTCTTGACTTTTGCCGTCCAGAATTCCTTTTGTGGGTGCTTTCGCATTATCCGTCTGCAGAGGCTGCTGGCGTGCAGTGAAAAGGTCAAAGCAGGCAAGCTGAAGGCAGCTGCAGGACGGGTCTCGGACGGCTGAGATGGCAAGCCTGCGAGACAAACAAGGGGAGCATGGGGATAGTGGCAATGGCTATACGTGAACTCTTGCGGATTTTACAATTGTCATTCTAAACCGGCTGTAAGACAAGTTGCAAGCCGATTCTTGCCATCTTACAAATGTAAAAGATTGTGAAATGCAGAATTACCTTATAGCTTGACACTGGGTCTAACACATGCCGACGAAAAATTGAAACAGGAGAAATGTGCAGAATTGTGCTTGAATAGCTTTGTTCTGGTACCTGAAGAGAGTCGCTGAGGCGAATCTGCACCTGAACGGAGTCGCTGTGGCAAAGCTGTACCTGAATATAGTTGCTGGGGTTTGCTTGGCTGGGCTGATCGTAAAAACTTTAGTCTGATGCCTGCTGCTGAAATGCACACCAGCCTGTGTGTCCAGAACGCTCCAAGTCTTTCCGCCGTCCTTGGTGGCTTGCAGTAACCTGATACAGTGTACGGAGTGCATGGGTGGAATGACATTGTTGTGCAAGCAAGAATGTCACAGTGGGTAGATTATCACCTTTGGTCTTAGAGGTCGTGGGTTCAACTCTCAGGAGTTGCTTCTCTCTTCTCGTCATGCCCAACATGACATTCCCACACTCCACCACACTCACCCACAGCGAAGTGTGGTCACAGTTGGCTTTGCCATCTGTCCACTCATCCCATACTCACCTTGCTGGCCCCTATGGTGTGCCACATGCTGCCATGTAGGCTGTTGTTCCAGCCTGGGCCACATGTGCAACATGTGGCCTCAATTGCTAGCTTGGCAAGGTTGGCTAGCCTTGCCCTCAGCTTTGAGGTGCTGCAGCTAGCCTCAAGAGCCACATATATGTGGCTTCCCACATCTCTAGAATTCATCCTTGATTAAGGACATTGCTCTAGCCTCTCAGGCTTGTACCATCTTCTTACTAAGGATATATTGTTCTTCTCTCATTGTGCCTTAAGTTCACCGATCCTCATTCTACAGACATGTTCCACAAAATCATGCATTGTAGGGTGATTCAATGAAGTGATGCATTTCTGGCAGTAAAAAAAAAAAAAAAAAGGTTGCATGAAACGAATGGTTTCGTCCTTCACTACCATCGAAAACCTCATGTGAGACTCACCAGCAGCAGGGGTCCCTCTCTGGGCAATCATTCGCCGATGTGATTGAATACATGGTGACTGTAACAGGAGCGGAGCCACTGAGCCGGTATTGCAACCATGCACCTGTCGAAGAGAGTGCCACCAGAACGATAAGAAAGTGCCACCAACGATAAGAACGTTCACAGAAGGACAAGAGCGTTTGGTCTGATGCCACAAGCTGGATTCAGCTCGAGATTGCATTCACAATTAATGAAGCACGTGAATGGCTTGGATGGCATTGGATGACACATCATAGCATGGCGTGAATGGCATGGCGTGAGTGGCATGGCACGTCACGGCATGCATGGCATGTCATGGCATGGCATGGTATGGCAAGTAACGTCACAGCATGGCACAGTATGGCATGGCAGCTGGTAACAGCATACCTTTCCCTCCCTCGTGGTGCAGCCATTTGGTGTGCAGCGATGCATCGCATGCTGATATGGCCTGGGACAGATGGAGGGACGGAGGGTGCATGGATGGGTGTGGCATATGGTGGTTATGCACATGGAAACATGCCAGAGCATCACATTCATTTGGTGTGCAGCGATGCATCGCATGCTGATATGGCCTGGGACGGAGGGCGTATACAGAGGGATGTAAAGTGAGAGCATTCATTGAGTTGAGACACCCCACAGCCAAAGTGAAACAGAGTATAATCTTCCATCCACAGCCACACCCACCCATCTCAACATCCCACCCATCTCACCATCTCATTGGGTGCGTCCTCCCAATCAGCTGACACCCAGACACCACACACTCTCTCATGCTGCACCAATCACAGCACCACGAATCGACCCACCACCAACCCCACCACCAACCTCTCTGCTCATGCACTCTCATTCCCAGTGACTGTCTGTCATCATCCAAACCAAAGAGCCACTCCCATCTCACCATCTCGTTGGGTGCGTTCTCCCCATCCGCTGACACCCAGCCGCCACACACCCTCTCATGCTGCACCAACCCCTGCAGCCACGCCGCATCCCCATCCACACCACTCCCAGTCCGCATCTTCTCCAATGCCTGCTTGACACGTGGCAGCACCTCCTGTGCTGCCTGCATCGCCATAGCAGCCATCACAGCCCCTTGTTCGTACCTCCAACCTCCCACCTCTGCTGCTACTTCCCCTTTTTCTTTGCTCTCTTGTGCAATCGCCCCCTCTCCTCCTTCAGATTCACACTCCTTCACCCCGACTATCCACCCCGCCCCCTCACTCCCCTCCTTCTCTCCCTCCTTCCAGACCTGAACCCCCATGGCAGACAGGAGGGATAGCAGGGGTGCTGCGGCAGAGATAGGAGTCTCTTGTGTGCTTCTGCTGCCACGCTTGCTGCTCGCTTGTTCGTTGCTGCCACTTGCACTGACCGTTGACGTCGCTACTGCATCCAAGAGTATCGTGCGAAAGGGATCGCATCGATTGTCGTTGAGTGGCACGGAGCGGGAGCGGAAGGGGAGCGAGCGCAAAGCAGAGAGCAGAGAGAGGAGAGTTTCTAAACATGTGCCTAGTGACTTTTGCGCCGCTGCTGATGCTGCTTCGTGACTTGGAGAGCCAATAACATCACGACACATGTCCCCTACAGCAAGCAGCAGTGCACCCACATGCTCATCCACCATCCTCCTCTCCAACCTCCCATCCTTCCCCTCTTTCCCCCTGTCCCCCCCATCACCCCCACCACTCTCCAACCCCAGTTCCCCCCTCGCTGCTCTCCACTCCACAGAACCGGTCTGCCTCCCTCCCAACACCACACCATCCCTCTCCCCTCCCTCCCGTCCTCCCTCCTCCCCTCCTCCCTTCCCTCCACTCAGCTCCTCTTTCTCCCTCGCATCCCTCTCCTCCAACCGCCTCCTCTCGTCCACACCAAGGCTGGCTCGAGCCCTTGCTGTCACTGCTGCCACTGCCGCTGCTACAGCCACCTCTGATGCTTCCGTCCGCCTGTGCTGGAGCTGTTTGAGAAGGGAAGGGGTGTGGGGAGAAGGAGGAAAGAACTGCTGTCACTGCTGCCACTGCCGCTGCTACAGCCACCTCTGATGCTTCTGTACGTCTCTGCTGGAGCTGTTTTGGAGGGGAAGGGTTGGGCGTATGGGGGAACAGTGGGAGGGGAAAGGTTGGTTGAAGACAAGAAGCAAGCAATGATCTGCAATGACCACTGCTTCGGCTGCTGTTGTCACCGCTGCCACTCCTGCTGCCACTTTCTCTCTTCCAACTGCCACTACTGCCACGGCTGCGGCTACTGCCGCTACAGCCACTACTGCCACTACTGCTGCTATAGCTGCTGCCACTGCTCCCCCCCAGTCGCAACTAGCTACAGAGGTCGTTGTCACTTCTGTAAGGTCACTGCCGCCACTTTTGAGGCCCCTCAAAATGGCTCCTAAGGCCCTAGCCCTCTAAATGCAGTCGCAAAAGCTTCAGAGGCCGTTGTCACTCCTGTAAACCAGCTGTCACTGCTGCCACTGCTTCTGATATAGCTGCTGCCATTACTGCTGCCACTGCTCCCCACCAATCAGCTCAGTTGCTTTGGTGCGGCTGTGTTGCAGCTGATATTGGGGGATGAGAGTTGGGCGGTGGGTTGAGGGATAACAGGAGGCAGGGGGTGTGGCAGAGGGAAGGAGAGAGCAATAGCCCGCACCCGAGACTACTGTGCTGTTCCTCTTGTTGCATTTGTTGCTCTTGTTGCATTGCATGTGTTTTGATGTGAGAACGATGCTTCAAAACTCCTTGCTGACCCGTGAGTGACCCAACCCCAGCTGACCCGTGAGTGACCTACCTTGCTCCATTGGAGTGTGTATCTTCGAATGACGTCAGCAACCCCATCCCTCCCCACTCCAAACACGTATGTCAGCTTCTTGCCCCACCTGCTCGCCCAGGCACAATGCAAGAGAATGGTGGGAGAGAGGGGGGGAGTGCACACAGCAAGGAGGTGACTTCTAAGCCGACTCAACAGTCACACATACGCCAGCTTTTTGCCCCACCTGCACGCCCATGCATAGTGCAAGAGAAGAGAGGGAGAGAGTGCACGCCCAGCAACAAGGTGCCCTTTGAGACCACACAAAATTCACACGTGTGTCAGCTCAGCTTCTTGCCCCGCCTGCTCTCCCTGGCACAGTAAACGACAGAAAGATTCACTGCATTCGATTGCAGGTGCTATCTGCAGTGCTGCAAGCATCCATAGCAGACTGTCTCTGCAAACAGCACTGAGTTTTTGAGATTTCTCAAAAACTCCGTGACGTTGCAGGGAGTTTTTGAGGATTCCAAAAAATTTGCAGGTGCTATCAGCAGTGCTGCATGCATCCATAGCAAACTGTCTCTGCAAACAGCACTGAGTTGCCCTTTGAGTCGACTCAAAAGTCAAGTCCATAGCAAAATGTTCCTGCAAACAGCACAGAGACTGGAGACGAAAAATAAGTGCAAACAACGCTTTCTTTTACCTTCAGGGCATGGTTTGATAAACCAGTGGCTGACAGCCAGTCAGACAGACCTACAAGCAGGGATGTCAACAGCTCTCAAAATGGTTCTGGTATATATTTCGCTTTTCCTCTGACATCAAGGATCTGTGGCGCAATGGTAGCGCGTCTGACTCCAGATCAGAAGGTTGCGTGTTCGATTCACGTCAGGTTCAATGCCTGCTTTTTGTTCCCAACGGTTTTTTCTTTCCTGGCCGTGAGCTGTGTCAACCAGGTTAGCGTCTTGTGTTCATGCACTGTGATGTGCGGTTCGCGTTTTGTGTAGCGCGTGAGTCACATGGCTTTATGGATGGAACCAGGTCACCCTCGAAGACTCTTTTGGTCCAGGAGTCTGGACCAATGCAAGCCACGAAAGTTACCACTCGTTACAATAACCCGGGCTCACATTCATTTTTCCACGATGATAGGCGGACCCTGGCGAGAGGACCAGGTGTGACGAATCCACCGGCCACTTCGTGCGACGTTTTTTATTTGACAAAAGGATATGTGAACGAAGTCGCCCTACCTCGCTTTTGCCCAATCGCATTGCACTGCGGTAAAATAACAAACGGTGATTACCCTTGCCTTGCCCAGGAATTCATATCAAGCGGCAAACCACTCCACAAAACCATCCCCACCTAGCACTAGCCATTCCCACCCCACCCAAACCCCCCATGCAACCACTCTCCACCCACCCTTTCTCGTAGAGCAGTGGCGTGTCAAAGGCTGCTTCACACGGGTCAAGATGCAGCCACCTGCACGGAGGGGGAGTGGGGGGTGGGGGAAGCAGGGTGCGGGAAGGAAGGCGGGAGAGGGAAGGCGGAGGAGTGAGTGCATTGCCTTGGCCACAAAACCCCTAGGGTAGCATGCATGCTCACGGGTTTTTGAGTCGACTCAAAAGTAAACCCCTAGGGTAGCATGCATGCTCACGGGTTTTTGAGTCGACTCAAAAGTAAACCCCTATGGTAGAATGCATGCTTACGGGTTTTTGAGTCGACTCAAAAGTACCATAACCCCACCACACACCATATCCACCCCTTATCCCCACCCACCCGTGGTGACTTTTGAGTTGACTCTAAAGTCAACTGGAGACGGGGAGAGAGGAGCATGAACTGCCCGGAGGCCCTACTGCAGATCCTATCCAACCCCTATCCCCACCCACTCACCCGTGGGCCATGACCACCTAACCCGCTTTGAAGACCTCTGGAACCACCGAGCATACCCACCCCCCCTTATCCCCACCCACTGTCGTCCCACAAACCCCATGAACGCACCTCTGCTTGACATGCGAGTGGCACTCGAGTGTCCACACATGGTCCACACATGGTCCACACATGGTCCGCACATGGTCCACACATGGTCCGCACATGCTCTGCACATGCTCCGCACATGGTCCGCACATGGTCCGCACATGGTCCGCACATGGTCCACACATGGTCCACACATGGTACGTCCAGTCCACTGCCCGCCATCGCCGCCATACACACCACGTATCTCGCTCACCCTTGCCCACCACTATTGAAATCCACTGCACGCACCTCTGCTTTGCATGCGAGTAGCACTCAGTTACTTTTGAGTCGACTCAAAAGTCACATGTCCACCAGACAGACACGAACAGCTCAATGGACTTGACTGCGTCTGGTGGGCCATGTGACTGACTGCGTCTGGTGGGCCATGTGACTGACTGCGTCTGGTGGGCCATGTGACTGACTGCGTCTGGTGGGCCATGTGACTGACTGCGTCTGGTGGGCCATGTGACTGACTGCGTCTGGTGGGCCATGTGACTGACACTGACTGCCTCCAATGCCACACCCGTAAACCCCACTGAAACCCATTGCACACACCTCTGCTTGGCATGCGAGTAGCACTCAGTCCACACATGGTCCGTCCAATCCACTGCCTGTGGGTATCACATGCACATGCACATGCACATGCACACGCACATGCACACGCACATGCACACGCACATGCACACGCACATGCAGGCATGCAGATTTGCAAACATGCAATTGTACCATCCACGACCCACCCATGCATGCATGCATGCATGCATGCACATGTGAACAAACATGCAAAATTTGAATGAAGACAAACGCATAATCTCATACTGAATTGAGCAGAACTGCATCAGCTAGCATAGCCACAGCCACGTGTATGAAGAAGTGTTTTGAGACGTCTCAAAACACTTCTCCATGCACAGCCACAGCCGCTCACATGTTATCCATCACGTTCACACGCCTGCCTGAAATCACTATAGTCATACACATACAGCTGCCGAGCATCGCTATAATCACACCTGCCTGGCATCGCAATAGTCACTTACACCTGCCTGGCATCATAGCCAAGAGCCCGGCAGCAGGGGGTGAAGGTGTTTTTTTTTAGAATTCGCAGAACTGAAACATGCATAGTCTCACTATAGCCACAGCACACACTCACACACACCTGCCTGGCATCGCTACAGTCACATCACAACACACCACACCACACCACACCACACCACACCACGCGCACTTGCCTGGGATCGCTACATCACATCACGTCACACACACACCTGCCTGGCATCGCTACAGTCACATCTACCTGCCTCTCTATGATCACACACACCTGCCTGGCATCGCTACAGTCACATCTACCTGCCTCTCTATGATCACACACACCTGCCTGGCATCGCTACAGTCACACCTACCTGCCTCTCTATGATCACACACACCTGCCTGGCATCGCTACAGTCACACCTACCTGCCTCTCTATGATCACACACACCTGCCTGGCATCGCTACAGTCACATCTACCTGCCTCTCTATGATCACACACACCTGCCTGGCATCGCTACAGTCACATCTACCTGCCTCTCTATGATCACACACACCTGCCTGGCATCGCTACAGTCACACCTACCTGCCTCTCTATGATCACACACACCTGCCTGGCATCGCTACAGTCACATCTACCTGCCTCTCTATGATCACACACACCTGCCTGGCATCGCTACAGTCACATCTACCTGCCTCTCTATGATCACACACACCTGCCTGGCATCATAGCCCAAAGCCCGGCAGCAGAGGGTGAAAGCGTTGGCCCACTCGCCACAGCGGCCCTCCCTGGTGTCCAGGAGCTGGAGAACGGGGGGGAGAAATGGAAGAGACAAAGAGGAGTAAAAAGGAAGGGGAAAGAAGGGTGAATGCTGTTCAGCTCACCCCTGCCCACAGAAGAAGATGAAGGCGTTGGCCCACTCGCAACAGAGGCCCTCCCTGGTGTCCAGGAGCTAAATGGCGGGGAGAAAGCGGGAGAAGAAAAGAGAAGGGGGGAAGAAAGAGAAGGGGAAAGCGGGGCGACTTAACCCTGCCACCATCCCCACAGCGGCCCCTTCTGGTGTCCAGGAGCTGTGTGGCGCGGTGAAGAGAGGGACGGGGAGGGGGAAAAGTAAAGGGGAGAGGGGCGAATCCACAACTTCTTTCGGGAGAAGGGTGAACCTGAACCAGCTCAGCCCTGCCCACAGCTTTTGAGACGTCTCAAAAACAACCTCGCTTCACGGAGAAGGGTGAACCTGAACCAGCTCAGCCCTGCCCACAGCTTTTGAGACGTCTCAAAAACAACCTCGCTTCACGGAGAAGGGTGAACCTGAACCAGCTCAGCCCTGCCCTGCCCACAGCGGCATGAAGAGAGGAAGGCCCAGACCGAGGAGGTGACATGACAGGTCAGACTGAGGAGGTGACAGGTCAGACCGAGGAAGTGACAGGTCAGACCGAGGTGGCATGTGTGAAAGGTCGTAGAGGTTGGGTCGGCAAGAATATCAACAGCAGATTTGGCTGCTTGGACTGAATACTTGAAAGCATAAAGCACCCCTCGTGAAGGCAGTGTATGATTTTGAGGTTCACCATTGTATGATATTGAGGTTCACCATTGTATGATTTTGAGGCTCACCAGTGTATGATTTTGAGGTTCACCATTGTATGATTTTGAGGTTCACCATTGTATGATTTTGAGGCAGGCAATGGTGAAGCTCACAACTGTGTCTCCTGCCTCTGCCTCTGCCTCTGCCTCTGCCTCTGCCTCTGCCTCTGCCTCCGTGCGACTTACCTTGGCCGGGTCGTTGTACCGCACAAAGCGAGCCACCGTGCCACACTGCTTGCACCTGAGAGCGACACCCACACGCACCACATGCACACCCAGGCCAGAGCCACAGACATGGGGGGGAGAGGCGGAAGGGAGAGTTGAATGGGAGGGGGAAAGGAGGGGAGGCGGATCGATGGAAGTTTAGAGACTCACACACACACACACACTCAAAAGGCATTGAGACTCACACACACCACACACACACCAGAGCCAGAGACACGGATAGAAGGAGAAGAGGGGGAAGGGAAGGTTGAATGGGAGGGGGAAGGCAGAGGCTGAGGAGGCACACCCGACAGTTACTCCCACCCATTTCTCCCCATCCCTGGCCAACCCCACCCACCCCCACTCACCCCCACCACACGCACATCTAGAGCCTGAGACACGGATAGAGGGAGAAGAGGGGGAAGGGAAGGTTTAAAGGGAGGGGGAAGGGAAGAGGCTGAAGATGCACACCTGACAGTGACACCCACCCACCCCCAACCATCCCCACCCACCACCACCCACGCCGACGACATGCGCACCCATACTAGAGAGCTAAATCCCAAGAATGTTATAACGCCATAAAAGACACTGACACCCACCCCCATCCACGTGAACAGAGACAACTCAAGACACGTGATTGAGAAACGCCTCAAAAGTCTAAATCCCAAGAATGTTATACCGCCATAAAAGACACGTGATTGAAGAAATGTTTTGAGACGTCTCAAGACACCCACCCCCATCCACCCCCACCAAGCACACACCCAGAGCCAGAGACACAGATGAAGACAGAAGCCGGGGAAGGGAAGGTTGAATGGGAGGGGGTGGGTACGTAAGCCTAGCAAGGAGAAAGTTTGTGTATATTCATCCAATCCCCCTCAATTCCTTCCTCTCCCCTCCCCTCCCCTTCCCCTCTTTTCCCCCTCCCCCCTCACCTATGCAGGTCCACTCCACCCGCTGTCCCCCTCACAGCAGGTCATCAATGGAAGGCACAGGTGGGTGTGGGTGTGGCAGGGGCAGCAATCCTCTCACTCGATCATAGAGGACGGGGTGTGGGTGCCGTTGCCGTGGAAGGCACAGGTGCGAGTGAATGAGTGGCAGCAGGCGATCTCCTCTCACTCGATCATATGCCTGACGCAAACCATTCTCCCTTTCCTCACTGTCAGCTCGACCATATAACCTGTGCAGCTCGACTCGTTTTCCCCCCCACACCCACAGCAGGTCGTCAGTGGATGGCGTGCCGTTGCCAGGAAGGCACAGGCGGGGGTCCATGAGTGGGGGTCCATGAGTGCGGGTCCATGAGTGGGGGTCCATGAGTGGGGGTCCATCAGTGGAAGGCGCCCCGTTGCCATGGTGATCTCCTCCCTCTCATTTCTATGCCTAACACACACCATTTCCCATCTCCCCCCCCCCCTTCCTGTCGCTCCACTCGCTTCCCCCCCCAAAGCAGGTCATCAGTGGAAGGAGTGCTGTTGCCGTGGAAGGCACAGGTGGGGGAGCAGCAGTAAGGGTATTCCTCTCACTCGGTCGTATGCCTCACACACCCTCCTCCCTCCCCTCGTTTCCCCTCTCGCCCCTCACCTGTGCAGCTCCACGCGCTCTCCCCCCCACAGCAGGTCGTCAGTGGAAGGAGTGCCGCTGCCGTGGAAGGCGCAGGTGGGGGTGCGGCAGCGGGGGCATGGAGGGGAGTCCACCCATCTGCATGGAAAGCATGAAGGGAGAGAAGACACGGTGACACAGAGAAGGGTGGCCAGGGTGGCCGTAGAGGTGGGGCCTGGAAGGCACAGGTGGGGGTGCGGCAGCGGGGGCATGGAGGGGAGTCCACCCATCTGCATGGGGGAGCAGCGCAAGACGGAAGGCAAGGGCAGGGAGAGACAGACCAGGGGAGATGAGATGGAAAGGGGATGGCATGCCGTTGCCGTGGAAGGCACAGGGGAGGGTGCTGCAGCGGGGGCCCGGAGGGGAGTCCACCCATCTGCAAGAAGCAGAGAGACGAGGAGAAGGAAAGTTGAGAGGCTATGGTGAAGACGCTGGTCAGGAGGAGGGGCTGGGAAGGAAAATGGTAGAATGATGGTGAAGGGGAGAGGTGAGCAGGATGGATGGGTAAGACAGGGGCGATTCTGGCAAGCTTGCCGTCAACCCATCTGCAAAAAGGAGGGAGACGAGGAAAAAGAAAGTTGAGAGGCTATGGTGAAGAAGCTGGTGAGGAGGAGGGGCTGGGAAGGAAACGGACAGGATTATGGTCAAGGGGAGATGAGATGAGGATGGATGGGGAAGACAGGGGCTTTGCCATGGATTCACCACAAGATGGGCACGGAAGCCCCTGTCTTCCCTGCTGAGGATGGGAGAGGAGGAGGATGGGAGGAGGGAGAGCAAGCAGACAGGGCCTTCAATGCCGAGCTTGTTACGTGATAATAGTGAGGCTTTTTGAGACATCTCAAAACTTCACTATTATCACGGAGCAAGCAGACAGGGGCTTCCATGCCGAGCTTGTTGCATGGATACACTACAGTTCGTCACAGCGATCACCTGAACCAGGTGAAACAGCAACGGATGAATCATCTAAACCGGCACAGCAATCACCTGAACCGCACAGCAATCACCTGAACCGCACTGCGATCACCTGAACCGCACTGCAATCACCTGAACCGCACTGCAATCACCTGAACCGCACTGCAATCACCTGAACTGCACTGCGATCACCTAAACCACGCTGCAATCACCTGAACCGCACTGCAATCACCTGAACCGCACAGCAATCACCTGAACCGCACTGCAATCACCTGAACCGCACTGCAATCACCTGAACCGCACTGCAATCACCTGAACTGCAATGCAATCACCTGAACAGCACTGTAATCCCCTGAACCGCACTGCAATCACCTGAACCAGGACTTGAACCAGAACAGCATCTGCCTCAACAGAGCGTCACGAAACTGTCCCTCTGACGGCTGGTACTGGCCTTGCTGCGGTGGGGATGAGGGGAGGCAGAGGCAGAAGAAGGGGCAGATGCAGAAGAGCAAGTGTGTTTTGAGTCGACCAGCGACTAGCACCACAGCAGTTGTCTCAACACAGCATCACGAAACTGTCCCTCTGACGGCTGGTCTGGTACTGGCCTTGCTGAGGTGGGGAAGAGGTGGTGATAGGGGGAGGTGACAGAGACGATGAGAGGATAAGACTAAGCCACGGTAGGCTGTGGTGCGGCAGGTTGTGGTGCTGAAGGCTGTGGAGTGCCAGTCGCACGGGCAGAGGGTGCTTTCAACCCATTCATCCTCCTCATTCCAGGAACTTTCTCACACCCAGCAGTAGCACTATAGTTTTCATATTGAGTGGCCTGCTTGCACATTCATTCACGACCCTTGATAGCATGCTGTTGACAGATTGAGCGCAGCACAGCACCACGCATTGCATCGCACCGCACGGCACAGCAGCAGCAGCAGCAGCACTATAGTTCTCATATTGAGTGGCCTGCTTGCACATTCATCCACGACCCTTGATAGCATGCTGTTGACAGATTGAGCGCAGCACAGCACCACGCATTGCATCGCACCGCACCGCACGGCACAGCAGCAGCACTATAGTTTTCATATTGAGTGGCCTGCTTGCACGCTCATCCACGACCCTTGATAGCATGCTGTTGACTCAGAGGAGGGAGCAGAGCAGAGCAGGGCAACGCACAGTACAGCACCACACCGCACAGCACACCAGATCACATCACAGCACTGCATGGCATGGCATGGCATGGCACAGCACTGCACAGCACGCCAGCACAGTACCGACCCGAACCGCACTGCACAGCACAGCACTGCACCGCACTGCACTGCACAGCACAGCACCACACCGCATGGCACAGCAGAGAACAGCGACTGGCGAACCTTAGCAAGGGAGACTGCAGCAGCCTCCTCGAGCTGCTGCAGGGGAATGAGCGAGCGTGCCTTGGCCTGGCGTGATGGGTCCTCGTACTGGAAGGGATGTGGAGTGTGGAGTGTGGATGGGAGGGGGATGAAGATAACCCAAGGGCGGCTCAAGACAAAAGGTGACGGAAAGGGGATCAACTTATTCACAAGACCGAGCGAGGTTTTTAAAAGCACAGAGATTAGAGGTCGGTGTTTCATGGTATCACAGCCCAAGATAGCATGCAGTGTGCACCGCACCGCACCACATTGCACTTCACTCCACTCACCTGCATGACATTGCTCCATTGTGACAGCAGTCGCCCCTCCAATGCCGACACGTCACCCACCCACCCCCCCTTGCCTTGCCCGTCTTGCACACAACACGCTGCACCACCTGGCACCGTATTACACCGCACTGCACCCCACTCACCTGCATGACATTGCTCGACAGCGACAGCAGTCGCCCCTCCAACGCCGCCTGACCATTCCCTCCCCACCAGCCACCCCTTGCTCGTCTCGCACACAAGCACCGTATTGCACCGCACTGCACCGCACTCACCTGCATGACATTGCTCCATTGTGACAGCAGTCGCCCCTCCAATGCCGCCTGACCGTGCTGCTGCTGTGGCGGCTGCTGCTGCCCCCTCATCTGCTGCAGCATGGCCTGCATGGCATGTGCTTCTGACTGCTGCATCTGCTGTGCCAATGCTGCATCCTCCTCCTCCTGACATGCCATGCCATGCCATTGCAATATAAAGCACCATGACATGCCATGCCATGACATTACCGCATCACGCACCATGGCATGTCATGTAATGTGATGGTGCCAAAGAAGAGGGAAATCATGAGAGGGGAGGGGGGGGGGGAAGGCGGGAGGGGTAGAGGGGGAGGCACAGCGCATCAGATGCAGTGACGTGAACTGGTGACATGTGTTTTGAGGCGCCTCAAAAGTGAGGTGTGTATTGAGGCGCCTCAAAAGTGAGGTGTGTTTTGAGGCGCCTCAAAAGTGAGGTGTGTTTTGAGGCGCCTCAAAAGTGACATGTGTTTTGCGGCGCCTCAAAGTGAGGTGTGTTTTGAGGCGCCTCAAAACACACCTCACTACAGCGCATCGGATGCAGTGACGAGAACTGGTGATATCGGCTTGTGTGCACAACGTACTGAAGAAGACGCGTGTCGTGTTCAGATGCACAGTGAGAGGGGGGGGAGAGGGGAAGGAGGGGGGAGGGGTAGAGGGGGGGGGGTGGTAGAGGGGGGGGGCACAGCGCATCGGATGCAGTGACGTGAACTGGTGACATCGGCTTGTGTGCACAATGTACTGAAGACGACGTGTGTCGTGTTCAGATCAGATGCACAGTGAACCGTGAACGCATGAACACGCATGAACACGCATGAACACGCATGAACACGCATGAACATGCATGCACTGGAAAAAGGCCAACAGGGCAGGCAGGGCATGCAGGCAGCAGGAGTGCTGAAACAAAAGAGCATCCACACACGCCACATACCGTCGCCTTGCGATTTCCGCATCATCCTCCCTGCTCCTCATTTAATGGGTGTCAGTTAACGCATGCAGGAACGCTGATACATGCACACATATTGACATCCACACACGCCACATACCTGCAGTCACCTTACGAGTTCCGCATCATCCTCCCTGCTGCTCTCCCCCTTACCACCCTTAGGATCACGACGAGGAGCTCGCAAGGCGCCAATAGAGCATGCAGGAGCGCTGAAACAAAAGAGCATCCACACACGCCACATACCTGCAGTCGCCTTGCAAGCTCTGCATCATCCTCTCGGCTGCTCTCCCCCGTACCACCCTCCTTCCCTTCCTCCTCCTTAGTCGCCTTCACCTCCCCCTGCTACATACCTGCAGTCGCCTTGCAAGCTCTGCATCATCCTCCCTGCTGCTCTCCCCCGTACCACCCTCCTTTCCTTCCTCCACCGTCGGCCCCTTCTCTCCCTCCGCCCCCTCTGAACCCTTCTCCCCCGTCTCCCCCTCTGCCCCCAGCCTCCCCCGATCGTGCAGCAGCAGCACCGCACCAGTGGCCGGCAGGAGGGAGGCCAAATCCGCATGCGGCGAGGAGAGGTCAAGGGAGGGACCGGAGGAGAGTGAGAGCTGCAAGGGGACCAGGGGAAAGGCAGTAAGAAAGGAGGTGATTCCTGAATAGGCTTCCCTATCGTGCAGCAGCAGCACTGCGCCAGTGGCCGGCAGGAGAGAATCCAAATCCGCATGCGGTGAGGAGAGGTCAAGGGATGGGTCAGCGGACAGGGAGAGCTGCACGGGCGAATGGGAAAGGGGAGGGAGAAAGAACGGCTGAATATGTTACAAGGCGCATCGAGATTGAAACGACATGTGGCGAGTGAGGAGTGGTCACGGGACGGGCCGGACGAGAGGGAGAGCTGCAAGGGCGGGCGGAGGGGGGAGAAGAGCAGCCGCTGGTAAGTGGGGATGACCTTTAACATGAATGAGCATGAGGTGTGGAGAGACGACAGGTCAACGGAAGGAGAGGTCAAGAGACAGGCCGGATGGCAGGAAGAGCTGCCTGCAAGCCTGCAAGGTCAACACGGTCAAATTGATTTATCTGATGAGCTTAAGGGAGTTCCCCATCCAGTCCTAAAGAAACATTGATGCTCGACGTACCACTTGGTTCTCTGGCTCGACTCCTGTGAGCGAGAAGATTTGAATCTGCAACACCTGTGCGACAATGGACGGCCAGGGATGGACGGCCAGGGATGGACAGCAAGGGATGGACGGCCAGGGATGGACAGCAAGGGATGGACGGCCAGGGATGAATTGGGAGGAAATGGGGAGTCGACGGGGACACGGGCGGAGGAGGTGAGGGGGGGTGAAATGTGGCCCGATTCACATCATGCAACGGAAGGGCGGTGTCGGCACATGCACCAGACCAGATAGGTCCGAGTGGGAATATGGATCAGCTGGCTGGGCTGATTTCTGAGGTATAGCAAAATCAGAGGACTGGGAACAAGCTACTTGGGCTGGATGCATGAAAACAGCTCGAAACAGTTAGAGAATAGGCCCAAACCCGCCTCTCCCGAATTGAATTCCTTACAGGTACACCTATTGCATACCCTTCACCGAAGCCTTATCGCTACCTCTCTCCGTCAATTTCTCAGGGAACGAGCAACTCCAGTCCTCTATCGCCTCTGTCCCTGTTCCGACCCACCCGCCCCTCTTGTGGTATATGTGAATTTCATTCGACTCAATAATCGATATCTCTCATCCCATCCCTCAGGAAAAGGAACAGCTCCAGCCGTCTCTCGCCCCCAAACCTGTATAAGACCACCTGTCCCTCCTGTGATATATCTATAGCGCTTGCTTTCACCACCTTCATGCTCATCCCCATCCTCGCATCCCTATTCCCCCTTTTCAAATTCCTCGTCCGCCGTCGCTACTCCCACCACCCCTTCTCCCGCCGTCCCTGCTTCTCCCGTCCCATCCCTCCTTCCCACAACCCCCCATCGCCTCACCTCCACGCCCATGTCAACTTCCACTTCCATTTCGAACCGCTCCTCACCGAACACCACCGTCACTCCTCGCGCCGCCATCGCGGATAGCACAAAGACCCGCCGCGCTGAACGCGCCACGTGGCGCACCCGCAACTTTGAAGAGGCTACAGATCTCGACTCGTGGCGCGCGAGCAACTGCTGACAGGGTGCGGCGAGTGACACAACGAAACGGCAGCCACGTGGTTTAAGATGATTCGACTTGAGTCCAACTTCGTGCAATCTGAAGCCTGCACTCCTAGTAGGTTGTATTCGTGGTAAAAGGAGAACTCGGGTCGCGTTAATGTGGTGATTGAGAGTGAGTGGAAGAGCGCGAGGCAGGTCTCGGGAGATATGACTATATTGCATGCGGAATCTTGCCTTGCCGATGACGGCTGCTGCGTAGGGTGGTCTGAAAGAAAATCAACTTGATACAACCCGTCGTCACGACACTTCAACAACTGGTTTCTCCCTACCTATCTTCAACTGTTAGCTCCCTCGCTAAACTGATCGGTGATATATTGCGCTCTCTACCTCACTTCATGGCACGAACATGGTCCAATAGTCCGAGTCCGGATGAAGCACTTGGGTCTAATGCAGGGAAGGCGTATTCCTGCGAAGACTTTCGACCGCCCTTGACACCTCTTTAGCAATTTCTGTGTTTGATTAGTGCTACACCACACGAACTGTACTTCCGGAAACGAAATGAGGACCCGCGGGGTCATCATCTAAACCCGCATTGAAATACATAAATACCATTTTCCTGGTCCGACTGGGCGTGGTCGGGCAGGGTTGGCCAACTGGGGATGCAGATGACAAGTCTCCGCAGGTCGCTGTAACAAGCCAAACAGATCGGGAAGGTTTCGCTCTCGCCAGTTACTCGTGCACGAATATTTTCGTCGAGGGAACCTACCTGATCCACCTCGTTGTCCAGGATTTTCGCGCCAAAACCAACCAAACCTTTCCAGCAGCAGCTCTCCGAAGCCAAAACCAAAGCAAAAACCAGACCAGACCAGCCGAGCCGAACCAATCAGAGCAGTTCGTTGTCGAATGAATGACTTGCTTGTTGCTCGACCTCCTCCTGATCGTCGTGACTCTCAAATTCAGGGTATTACCGACATTCCCTCAATTGCTTTGCCTTGCATTTGCCATAGTATCAATCTTTAGGCACTCTATCTTGGCAATGAATTAGTGAAGCTTCCTTACGTCAGTGGAGCCTGTACATTATCATATGTAAACTTATAGATTTGCAGGATTCAAGTTGTTCCCCGTTACCACGACGACGCGACGTGAACTTTTCTTAATGGATTTCCACGACGCTGCCACTTTACTCCTGGGCTCATTAGAACAACCAGTTCCGTCAGCTTGCGGTCGATAATCTCTAGGTCGCCGAGAAATGCGTGGTGAGGGATCTGAAAATCGGCGCCTTCTAGCTTTTCACGAAAAATGCGTTAGTGAAGATCGTTTTCGGAACTGGTATCGTGCAACTCCAGAGCGTACGAAGTTCACGTCAGGGACAGTGAGTTTAAGCGGATATAGTATCCTCGTGTTATGAGTAGGCTGGTAGTAGTGCGCGGGAACCACGACAAACATTTCAGGTGTTAATGCTTCATTCATTCCTGAAGCCGTCATCCGTGTAGCTAACCCTTCGACAAGAACCGTGAATCTGCTGGACTTACTTCCACGGCTTCCTATATCCGATTCAGGGTTCCAGCGGGTCTGATTCGACTCAAATCAGGCTACTTGGATCTTCACCTCGCTGTGTCTTTCAAGCGAGTCTCTCGAATCAGTCTATAACGCGCGTCGTCCAACTGCTGCTTACCATCCCCTCAATGTCAGCTCAGGAAACACAAGACGATGAGAACGCGTAAGAAAGGGATTTGAAGGTTCGGAAGCAGCCTGTTCGGTGATCCAAGGTGGCGTGTGCATTTCTTTATTCCACTGCAGAGCAAGCGAAGTTGAGATCCGGATCCGCCATCAGAGTTCTTCCCGTGAAAACCGCGATTGGAACGCGGACAGGGTAAAGGCAAGGAAGGAGCTGAAGAGGGTGTGACTGGTCCCGCTGCTGCACCTGCTGCGGCTGTTGTTACTCTTCCTACTATCTCCACCAACTGACGCCTATTGTCGGACCTGCAGTCTTCCGGCCACTGCCATCCCCACGCCGCGTGTAATTGATTACAACAAGGGGGGCCACCATGGACTCAAGTTCCGACGTGACGATTCAAAAGTCCCCTTCTGCTGCCCCTTCCACCTCTTCCGCCTCTCCCATCCCTGTTGCCTCTCCCATCCCTGTTGCCTCTCCCACCCCTGCTGCCTCTCCCACCCCTGCTGCCTCTCCCACCCCTGCTGCCTCTCCCACCCCTGCTGCCTCTCCCACCCCTGCTGCCTCTCCCACCCCTGCTGCCTCTCCCACCCCTGCTGCCTCTCCCACCCCTGCTGCCTCTCCCACCCTTGCTGCCCCTTCCACCTCTTCCGCCTCTCCCATCCCTGTTGCCTCTCCCATCCCTGTTGACCCTCCCACCCCTGCTGCCTCTCCAACCCCTGCTTCCCCTTTCACCCTTGCTGCCCCTCCCACCCCTGCTGCCCCTCCCACCCCTGCTGCCCCTCACACCCCTGCTGCCCCTTTCACTCCTGTTTCCCCACCTATTGGTGCTACACCATACCATGCAAGTGCACCCGTTTCGATTACAGGTGGCTCTGGTCCTGCTGCGTGTGGGGAGCGTGTGTGCGGTGCTGTGGGGTGTGGGACGGTGGGGGGTGGTGGTGGTGTGAAGCTGAGGAGTTGCGGTGGGTGTGGCAAGGTGGCGTATTGCAGCAGAGAGTGCCAAAAGGCGCACTGGCCCTCCCACAAGCTCACATGCCCTGGCAGGACCAGCGGGAGAAGTGGTGGCAGCAGCAGTGGCAAGATGAGTGGCAAGGTGAGTGGCGTGGCGATTGGTTAAGCGAGTGGCATAGGGAGTGGCCAAGTGAGTGGGTGAGCAGTACAGGTGTAAGAAAAGGTCGTCTGACTGGAGGCATAATATCCCGTTGTGATCGCAAGACCTCGTTCATTGAGTGGTGGCATCGCAGGCCGGGCTTGTATCAGCATGCAGCAAAGAACGAGGGTATGTGAGGTTTTCCTTTGTGAATTGCTGGGATGTTTGCTTCTGTACTTGCTGCTGTGCATGCTGCTGTGTTGCTGCTGTGTGTGCTGCTGTGCCTGCTGCCAGTCATCCTCCTTGTGCGGCACTTGTAGGAATATTCTGAGGTGCCACAATAAATGATTGCATGGATCTAGTTTGCACAATGCTAGGGTTGGCATGTTTGATGCTGAGTGTGCTGCTGTGCTTGCTGCCAGTCATCCTCCTCGTGTGGCACTTTTGAGAATTCTCAAAGGTGCCCTCAAGGAGGGTGTGCTTGGAGCATTGCAGATTGTTGGCATGCTTGAGTTGCTGTGTGCTGCTGCGATTGATGCCAGTCATGCACCTTGTGCAGCAGGTCATACCCTTTCGTTTTGACTGAGCTTTGTTGCATGTGTTTAATGACAACTTCTTGCGCCCTATTTTTTTCCCCCCATTTCTTACTGCCCCTAAACCCATGCTCGCCCTTGCACCCCTCTCTCTCAACTGCTCTGCACAGGTCCAAGAACAACTGACATGTTGAGTGTGTGCCTTCTTATGCAGAACTTTTCATCGCTGCCTCGTTGTTTCAGACCTGGTCCAGTTGGTAGATGCACGCACAGGCTAGAACTCAGAGATAGTAAGTAAACGTCATCGTCGTCCCCGGTGTGTAAGATCCAATTTTTGCCCTGATATTAGATGGTTTTCTGTAGATGACGCAAATTGTTCAGTTTTTTCTTCCTCTGATTTTCAGAGTTTTGCCGGTACCAGCCAGGCCTCACGTTTTCAGAGTCAATTACTCTGTTTCTCTGAAAATCAGAGTTATTTTTGAAAGTAACTCTCTACCCGCTGGGTAATTTTTTTGGGACTTCCGATTTCTCTGATTTGTCAGAGTTATGCTGTAGTTTACTCTGAGGCCTCTGGGTTTTTTTTTCGGGGACCGAATTTACTCTGTATAGGGAATACCTGCCGGCCCCCCCTCCCCCGCCCCCCTCCCCTCCCCACCTCCCCCTGCGTTTAGCGGGTTTTCCCCGAAGTACAAAAGGCGTAACAAAAACCTATTAAGGTCATGGTACACCAAACTTAACTAACATCAGAGTAGAGAAAAATATTACTCTGACGTGCTTGGGTTTTTTTTTGAAAGTATAGGGTTACTCTGACAAATCAGAGTAAGGCGCAGGAACAACCCTAGATTTCAGAGTTGGGAAAAAAACTACTCTGGAAATCAGAGTACCTAAAATCCAAAAATAGGCCCTGGTACCAGCATGAAAGGTTTGAGGAGCTGCGAAGAAAGAAAGGAATGAAATGAAACAACACCCGCATGTATGCGATCACAAGCCGCCACCTCACTTTAGTGACGAGATGAGATACGACCAGCCTCAACAGCAAGTGAACTTAGGCGACCTCAGTAAGGCGAGGCGACCCAAGCAGGTGCCACAGCAGGAGTACTAACAAGAGCAGACACATGAACCCAAGGCCTGCACACCACACTCCCGAAAGCTGCCACTGGCAGGGGAAGGGAAGGAAGACAGAAAGGCAGGCAAGACATGGGGTGCTACCGTAATTGAGGCGCCTTGACAGGCAAAGAAGGACAGGAAACCATTGAGATTTATTGCGAATCCATTCTGGCAAATTCCATTCTGGCAATTTTTTTTCATTTTTTTTTTGTGATAACAAGATAACGAGGGAAGGGAGGAGAACCCTAGCATTCCCCTAGTGCATAATCATTCCACATTTCCGCTGCCTTGATGCATAAACAGCCCACACTTATCACGCAACCTCCTGCTATCCGACCTCACCATGTCCCACTCTCACTATAAACCCTCTCAGCATTCACACGCGTGGCATGTCAGAAAGTCCTAAAAAACACTCTGAAAAAGAACCTCACCAATGAGCTCACTATACCACCCTCTAGCAGTCACTGCGTTGCCTTGCGCCTCTCTTATAGGTTTCACTACTGTTCTGGCACTGCAACGACCTTACCACTTTTGAAGCGCCTCTAAAGCTCGTAACCTTGCACAGACACAGACCTTGCCACTCACCATGCTGCTGAACAGACAGACACACAGACCTTGCCACTCACCATGCTGCTGGTTTTGGATTTGCAGGTGAGCTTATGAAAGGGCCAGTGTGCCTTTTGGCACACTCTGCTGCAATACGCCACCTTGCCACACCCACCGCAGCTCCTCAGCTTCACTGCACCACCCTCCGCCAACTCACACCCCAGAGCACCGCACATAGCCGCTCCCAAACGAGCAGAATTACAGTCTTTTGCGCTGGTTTTCCTCTACCGAACCGAGCCTTCAGGAGCTAATTTACCAGCAACTGTGCCGTTCAGCAGGGTTCATGTGCTCCCAGCAGCAGGGGAAGAAGCAACAGGAAAGGAAGGGCAGTAGCAGGGTTCCCCCAGCAGCATCTCTCGCAGACATGCCACCAGATTGACTCCCCCTGGCCATGCCTTCACGTAAGCCGCCTCTTCCTCCTTCTTACCCTTCCCCTTATTGCCACCACCCCACCCCCACCAACTACCACCCCCGCTCCTGCTGCCGCTGCTGCTCCTGCCACCACTGCTCCTGCCACCACTGCTCCTGCCGCTGCCCCTGCTACTGCCCCCCCTCCTACTACCACTGCCAGACCCTCCCCCATCGTCCAGCTCCTCACAGTACCGCGTCTCAACAGCCTTCTGCCACATCTTGGCACCTCTTTTCGTCTCCCCCTCACCCAGGTGCTTGCTGCCCTCACATGCCTCCCCCAACCCAGCTCCCACCAGCCTTAGGCTTGCCTTCCAAGCCACCATTGCTGCCAGGCACCACGACCGCACCTCTTCCCACACCTCCCCACACTCGCCCACCACTTCCCCTCCACCATCTCGCTCATCCCTGCCAGATCCACCCCCCCTCCGTCCTCCCCTCCTCCCTCTCTTTTCACCTTCCTTCCCTGTCGCCCTCCTCCCCTCTCTGCACCCCTCTCCACTCCCATCTCCGCTCACTTCATCCCACCCCGCCTCATCCAACTCCTCTATCTGCAGCACGGCTTTCGGCCATCTGAACGCCACAAGCAGCAGAAACAGCACCGGAAACTGCTCAGCCCGCTCTCTCCCCACCGGAAACTGTTCAGCAGGGCAGGCACGTCCGTGGGCAAGGGTTCCATTTGCAGGTCAGCCAAAAGTTCGTTGAACTCCGGGGAGTGCGGGGGAAAGACCGATACAAAGCGGTTAAAAAGGGCGCTGGCGGGTTGATAGGCGAATGTGGCAATCAGCGTGAGGGCGGGGAGAAAGCAGGTGAAAGTGTTGAAGCACTTGCTGCAGCGAGCGCAGGCTGGTGGGGATACCAGGTGACCTGCAAACTCCACTAGAAACTCGGCGTCTGCAGTGCAGCGAACTATGGGGATCTTTTGGTTTTGAGGAGCCACGGAAGCTGCCAGAGCTTCTGCAAAGCTCGGTGCGTCGTCTCCGTGCGCTGTGCCCCTGCCCACCCCGCTTCCACTACCCCTGCTAGCGTTCCTGCTAACCCCCCCGCCTCCTCGCCCGCGCATGGCCCGCCTTGTCCTTCCGGGTCTCCCTACTGTATTCCCTGCCTCCTTAGATGCCTTTCCCCCACCCTCCTCTCTCGACCCGCTCTCCTTCACTACCCCCAGTCGAAAGCATCTCGCACTCAGGTCCTTAGGAAGCTTCGCAGCAGCTTCATCGCCCCGAGGCCACTCCTCCACTCCAACGGGAAGCTGCCTTGGTCAAGAGGCTTGGGTATGGCGCCGAGCCTGACCAGCAGGCTCGGAAGGTCCCGAAGCGGGTGGCGCATGGGCCGGACCTTCCCCTGTGTGTTCTTTTTGAAACACTGTTTACTCGGGATGAAATCTGAGCCGTAGATTCTAACCCACTGCAAGATGCAAGTGGCTCGATATGTGAAAGCAGCAACCACAGGGTTTGTATTGACAGGTGTAGCCGCAGCTGTAGAGGATTTTATTGCTACATTCGGTGCTGCTGTAGCTGTAGCAACTGTAGCAACTGTAGTGCTCTTATCAGCTGCGGCAGCTGTAGCGGTTGCTGCCGTCATAACAGCTGAATCAGCTGTAGCAGCTGCCACTCCTCCACCTCCTCCTCCCCCTCCCCCTCCCCCCTCGCCCCTCACCCTCGCCACCCTGTCTCTACCGCCTCTACCCCCCACCTCCCGTCGCAGCCTCTTTCTGGCCTTCTCAATAGCTGCGTCCTCTATCCGTGTCTTGTTGGCGTTGTTCCCATCCACAAAAAATACCTGCCCTTCCTTGCGGCACTCTGGCTTGGAGAGCACTGAGGCCACTGCAAGGGCCAAGTCAGTGGCGCCCACGCCACTCACATACATGCCCTTGGGAATATCCCTGCCTTCGGTGTTGCTGCCACCTGCATCAGTGCTGCTGCTGTTGCTGTCCCTGCAGCTGCTGCTGCTACCACTGCAATCGCTTCTGCTGCTGCTGCTTCTCTCACTGCAGTGGCTGCACCTAAACTCACTCCCGTTCCCGCCTCCCTTTTCTAGAATCCAAGCCATGCCATCCACATACCTCTCCCACACACGCCCCTTTAGATGCTCCCTACACTTCTCACCCTTCCCATCCCTGCCACCCTCACCATCTCTCCCCTCCGCCCCTTCACCAGCCATCCCCCCCCCACCGCTGCCTCCCCATTCCCCTCCATTCCCAGCCTCAGCCGTCCCCACTCCCCATTCCGATGCCTCCCCATCCCCAGCCTCATCCCCCCCACCCATCCACCCCATCAGCCCATCTCCCTGACTCCCCACACCCCTCCTGCCCCCGCCCCCGCCCCCACCACCCACGGCACTCAGAAAGCTATCCATGGCCGCGCCTCTGTCCAGATTCAACATGCCGCTCACCTCTTCGCGTCTCACCCCTCCCCACGCACTGCCCATCATCCCGTATAATTCCTCCTCCATGCCCCTTCCACTGCCCCCATCTTGCCCCATGCCCGTTCCGCAGCCCTCTTCACCCCCCATGCCCCGTCTGCTGCCCCTGCCTCCCCCCATGCGCCTTCCGCTGCCTGTTTCTCCCCCCATGCCCCTTCTGCTGCCCCCGTCTCGCCACGAGCCCATTCCAGCCACAACTTCGTCCCCCATGCCGCTTCTGCCCTCCACCGCTCTCGTCATGGCTTCAGCCATCAGTCGGATCCCCGTCTCCCACGGATCTTCAGGGCTACCTAGCTGCGGAAATATCACAACCTCTCTAGCAACCCTACCGCCCCCCATCCCCCCTATGTCCGCACCATGCCCCATTTGCCCCATACCCGGCCTCTTGCATCCTGCCCTCCTGCTCGCCCCCTTCCTTCTCCTCAGCATGCGCCTTCTCCAGCCCGCCTGACAGCACATGCTGCACGAAGAACCCAAACCCTTCCTTCAGATCAGCACTCTCCTTCACCCCCAGCACCTGCACCAGCAGGGAGGCAAATGAATCGTCCTCCTGCTGCTTGCCCGCGCCCAGCTCGGCCACAAGGGCTGGAAAAAACGCGTCGTGGGAGTCCATGTGGGCCCTCCATAGAGTCACGAAACGGGGCCACCTCGCTACAAGCGCGAGGAAGGCAGCGAAGCTGACAGCACGGCGGTAGGCAGCCCAGCAACTGCTGCAGCGCCAGCAGCAGGACCACGCAACAACAGGAGCAGCAGAATCAGTAGGAGCAGAATGAGCAGAAGAAGTTGAGGCCTCGTTAGAAGCAGTCCCGACAGCCAGAATGGCAGGCAGGCGGGATCTGATCCTCCCCAGGTCCATGAGCACGCCCACACGAGGCTCAGCCATCCACTCGAGCAGCATGGCTTCCGCACAAACAAACGGCGCCCGTTCGCATTTCCAATGGAACTGAATATAATCCGGCGCACCCCCTCTCCCACCCAACGCCTCCACAGGTACCCGTGAGGCGAACTCGCGAATTGCTCTGGATTGCCTGTTTGGCGCCGCAGCAGGGACGGAGGGAGGCAAATGTGTGTGCAGGTGGAATCGGAAATCTTCGAGGGACATCATGTTGAGAGCTCGCTGCGCTCAGTAGCTCACGGCGCGGTCGAAGCAGCACTCGCATTGCTCTAGCTCCCAGCCGTCTCGCACGTCGAGATAGTGAACCATGTCCGCTCGACACAGCAGCTGAAACTTCCCCGCCGATGCTTCCTCTGTTCCCAGTTTTTCGCCGGATCCCCCTCCGTTCTTCCGCGTTGCTGGGCCTTCACCAGTTAATTCCTCCCCTTTCGTCCCTTCACCAAGTGGTTCCTCCTCTTGGTAGACCCATGTTCTCAGCCACTTCTGGACGTCCTCTGAGAGCGGTTTATTCCACCATGCTTCCCTTAAGGCTGCCTCCTTCGCCGCTTCAGAGACGAATGTTGGAAACGCGGAAGGCCGGCGACGCATCTTGATACTATTACACTGAACAGGGTGTCGTCGTATTCTCAAGTGTTAAAAAACGTATGATCCGGTTTCGTAGCTGTCGCGTATCAGTCACACCGAAGGAACGTCGTAAGAAGACACCTTGGATCCTACAAAACTATAATTTTACATAACAAATGCCGGTAAGCCAACTCCATCGATGCGGAGAAGCTTCACTGAATCATGGCAACATCCCAAAAATGGGGGGGCTCAAAAAGTATGGTGTCGAGTATGACTGGAGTAACAAAATGAACCGAGTGGGAAAACATACTTTCGACGCGTCGCGTCGAAACGAAATCAGCCCAGGCAGCTTCGGAATTCTCGGATGTGCTTTGGGCAGCTTAGCTGTCAGCTTCGCAACTCCCCCCATTGGCCGAGCGGCTTGGTTTTCAGGTTCCGCTGCACATTTCAGCTTCGGGAGCTGTGAGGGAGGCCAGGAACCGGGCGCTGGTGACCCATTGGCTGTAGGTCTCGACCCAATCTGCTGTTTTGGCGCGGAAAAAACTGTAATATTAGAACATAGTGTGTAGACACTCATTGTGGAATTGTTACGTTCCATATGTAAGAAGTTTTTATAAAGTGCCACATGAGTTATTGTGTTAAGTATTTATATACTCCATTCGTAATATATCGGGCTCTTGATTGGTAAAAAAATATATGAACTTGAGTGTGCAAAGCTTTGTATTTGTTTTACTACCACTCCATATTAATTTGAATCTACCTAATCAACGTCTTTTGTAGGGTCGTTAGTCAGTTTCATCCTTCACATTCGACAACCGAGAGCAATTATAGCATAGCATCATTGTCTACGAAGCAACATAGCGATTGAGAATGAAGGTTGACCGATCCCGGTATGATCGCACAATATGGACGGAGCGCAAAATGGACCGTGCGTCAATTACATAGTGTCGGAGATGCACATCCCTCAGTTTGAGCTTCACGCAAGAAGTCTTCTCGTCCACCTCACCCGTCTCATACAAACGCACGTACGCCAGCGCTGTGGGCTCACCATCCTCTCGTCGCGTGCTTATGTGGAAAAGCATGAGCAGGTCTGCATATGTTGTGATGTTCTCCTGCTTCCCGAATGGGTCTGTAACGGTCTGAAGTATGGCAACACGTGAAAATGCGGGTGACCCATGGAAGCTCGGTGTTGCGCGAACGTAGTGCGCCTCCCTCTCTCCGCTTGCTGGAATGGCAAGAGCCGAATGGACATGGAAGGAAGAGATGCACAACCCCTTTTAAGGAATGGAATGACACATGTGCATGGCATCAATCATGGTTGAGCATACACGCATTTTGTACAACCATGGCAGACACGCACTCTGTACAAGCAGCACACACACACACATACACACACACACACATACACACACATACACACATACACACACACACATCCACACACACACACACATACACACATACACATGCACACATACACAAACTTTATACAATCAGCACCAACAGACACACATTGTGCAACTTGCCACACACACATTATTCATCCAGCACACACACACACACTATACAACCCACACACACACACATGCACGCCGATCTCACTCTAAAACCAGCACACGCACAGTACGTACAAGCAGCATACACACACACTCTGAACAACCGACACATACACACACACAATCTTTGTATACAACTAGCACACACCCACACACTCTGTACAAACAGCATACTCACATACACTCTGTTTAACCAGCACACGCACACACTTTGTACATCCACTAGTCCCACACCCACCCACTCTGGCCAACCAGCACACCCACAGTTACACACTATTCACCCAGCGTATGCACACACTTCGTACAACCAGCACACACACACTCACTTTACTGAACCAGCACACACATACACGTACACTCTGTATAACCAGCCGACATACACACACATATACACTCTGTACAACCAGCGCACACACAAACACACTCTGTACAACCCGCACACACACACACACTTCTTTCCACACACACACACACACAAACATACACACATATACACACACACATCCACACACATACACACACTCACACACATGCACACACCCACACACTTTATACAATCAGCACCCACAGACACACACCGTGCAACTTGCCACACACACATTATTCAACCAGCACACACACACACTCTATACAGCCCACACACACACGCACATGCACACCGATCTCACTCTAAAACCAGCACACACACACAGTACGTACAAGCAGCATACACACACACTCTAAACAACCGACACATACACACACACAATCCTTACAGCCATCACAAAAGCACACACTCTAAACAACCGACACATACACACACACAATCCTTACAGCCATCACAAAAGCACACACTCTATACAACCGGCTCACACGCACACACTCTGTGAAACTAGGGCTCACACACATTGTAAAACCAGCACACACACACACACACATACACACACACACACACATTGTGTGTACAACTAGCATACAAACTCTGTACTAGAAGTTGGGCTACGGACTCTACAACGAAAATACACACACTCTTTACATGCCATCTCAAACGAAAATTATGTACGACTAGCACATACACATAAACACCCACACACACTCAGCCCCCCCCCAAACACACACACACACATACACACTGTACAACCTGCACAAACATACTCTGCCCAAGTGGCTCGCACACAAATGTTGTACAACTAGCACACACCCACACACTCTGTACAACCAGCATACTCACATACACTCTGTTTAACCAGCACACGCACACACTTTGTACATCCACTAGTCCCACACCCACCCACTCTGGCCAACAAGCACACCCACAGTTACACACTATTCACCCAGCGCATGCACACACTTCGTACAACCAGCACACACACACTCACTTTACTGAACCGGCACACACTCACACACATGTACACTCTGTATAACCAGCACAAACACACACATATACACTCTGTACAACCAGGGCACACACAAACACACTCTGTACAACCCGCACACACACACACACTCTGTACACATCACACACACACACACACACACATACACACACACACATCCACACATACACTCACACACATGCACACACACACAAACTTTATACAATCAGCACCCACAGACACACACTGTGCAACTTGCCACACACACATTATTCAACCAGCACACACACACACTCTATACAACCCACACACACACACATGCACACCGATCTCACTCTAAAACCAGCACACACACACAGTACGTACAAGCAGCATACACACACACTCTGAACAACCGACACATACACACACACAATCTTTACAGCCATCACAAAAGCACATACTCTATACAACCAGCTCACACGCACACACTCCGTGGAACAAGGGCTCACACACATTGAAAAACCAGCACAAACACACACACACACACACACACACACCTTGTGTGTACAACTAGCACACAAACTCCGTACAAGAAGTTGGGCTACGGACTCTACAACGAAAATACACACACTCTTTACATGCCATCCCAAACACAAATTCTGCCAGCAACTAGCACATACACATACACACGCACACACACTCCCCCCCCCCCCCCCACACACACACATACACTCTGTACAACCTGCACAAACTTACTCTATACAAGTGGCTCGCACACAAATGTTGTACAACTAGCACACACCCACACACTCTGTACAACCAGCATACTCACAAACACTCTGTTTAACCAGCACACGCACACACATGTACACTCTGTATAACCAGCAAAAATACACACATATACACTCTGTACAACCACGGCACACAGAAACACACTCTGTACAACCCGCAAACATATACACTCTGTACAAATCACAAACACACACACACACACACACACACACACACACACGTACGGAGTACAACAAGCACACACATCACTTACATGTATGGCGCTGGCTGATAGCCCTAGCTCTTCGATGCATGCGTGAATGTGCTGCATACTATCTGCATGGCACTCCACATATCCCTGCCAAGTTGCTGCCCCTCTTCTTGATGGGTCCCCCACAGGCAGGTCCACTGTATCATACGTCTTTGTTAGCACGCTCGAACGAACACGGTCCGCCTGTGGTAGTGTAAACCAGTCAAAACATGTTCCCAT